CATGGAGTCTTCCTGTCGTTTTTAAAGATGCACCCGGCTCCTTTTAGTGATGTGAAAAATCTGCTTGAATCCTAAGTTGTTTTATCAGTTGCCATTTGCAGTCCATTTAGGGGTGGAATAAAAAACCTATTTTCCTGATAGTGAGCCTTCTGCCAGCATCTTGACACGGAGGTGTGCATGACATGGATTTCTGGGTGCATTGTTTTGCTTTTCGTCACTCCAAAGAGACTCCTGTTTCTAATATCGACGCTGTTATCACGGTCAAGGTGGCCTTGCTGGAACGTGATGGGCGTCGGGAAGTGTAGTTTCAGCAGTAAGTGCCACTAGGCAGGCCCCTCATCTCCAGATCCAGGTGTGGCTCTCAGCAGACTGGCCGTTTGGGGCACCAGTGCACAGAGCCAGGTCCAGTCCCCTTCGCTGTGAGCATCTGTTACAGCTGGGGGAGGGGGGAGCGGGGACCACTGGCCCTTCTGTAGCTGCCACTCTCTCTCCAGCGCCCTGTCTGGCTGTGCTGCCCAAGCAGGGACTCTCTGGGTAGGAGTGAAAATGAGGGAGAGTGGTCCACTTTCAGATTCTAGAGGCTGCTTCTGGGTTTTAGGTACCAGCTGCTAGGTATTTACTTGCCCAATGACTGGGCAGGGCTGGTGACGCTGTGTGAAATGCCAGGTAATGAGACAGGCCTTAACCGTGGGCGACAACTGACACGGATGGCACCTGTGCCTGAGGACAGCTGGAACCCCGTGGGGAGACGGGGCAGGAGATTCAGTGCGAATCTGCTCGCCACGGCTTTCTGGCTGACTGTAGAATAACGGTCAGCCTATAAGCCATGCTAATATCCTAGACTCAGGACTTCACTCCTGCTTGCTGAAATTCTTCCCTCTGGCTTATCTTTGGTTTGTGCCCAGAGTCTTGTCTGAGGCCTGTCCCCAGCTGTGTGGCCATACAGCCTACCCGAGGTGCAGTTTTACCTTAAGTCAATAATTTACTCTTAGCAACTCGGCTTATCACAGCTAAAGTGATTTATTTAGACACAGAGCAAACACAAAAGTGAGAGAAATGCCTACGTAACTTCTTTGAGGCATGTTTCTTCCCTCTCATCTGGTTGAACCTTGGCCTCAAAGCTTTCTCTGGCAGGGCCGTTGACCTTGGCCAGTGGGTCCCCATCTCATCTGTACCTTATTTTCATTTGGAGCATGTAAGAAATTACTGATGCCCAGGGCTTCCTCCAGACATGCACGTTTAACTGGCCTACTGTGTACCCTGGTCTTCAGAAGCTCCCTGGGTGAGTCTAATGGGTAGCCAGGAGTGAGAATCACAGTCCAGGTGAGCCTGAGTGGGCTTTGGCAGGAGACCCTCAGTCTGGTTCTTTTTCCTGTCAGAGACCTTTATTGACGTCCCAGGCACAGCTCCGACCTCAAAGCTTATGGGGGGTGAGGCTCGGGTGGGGCACTGGTTGTCCGTTTGTCCTCAGGAATTCTGGGGGGAAGGGCTGCCATCCATCCAGTTTCCTCTACACCAAGTGCCAAGGATGCTTCCGTGAGCAAAACGTTTTCAAAATCTGGTCTCTAGAATCCTCTTTGCTTTGCATATGTGATGTGAATGGAGATTTCTCCATCTGCGAGCTAAAATAGAGACCTTAAACTTTTAAAAGAGCCAAACCCAAGCCAGCCAGGGTGACTTCTAGAAGCACTGTTCACGTTAGTGGAGGAAGAAAAGGCTCCTCCTTGGGGCGGTGGTGGCCCATTTGATTGTTTGTCTCTTAGCCATCTTCTATGTGGGAGTTCAGTGCAAAATGACTTTCCTTTTTCCTTACTTCTTTGTGAATGAAATGCACTAGATAAGCTTAAATATTTCTGAATTTTATATGAAATGTGAAATGAGTCCTTCTAGCGTCCTTGGTCCAGGGTGTCAAAGACTAACCCAGTAATTCCCAAATGAGGTTCCATATCTTTTCCTTCCCACCGCAGGTGGTAAAGGTACCTGCCCTGGGCAGCCTCACACATGCTAATGGGAAGGGGAGAACTGTTCGATTTCCCTTGGAAAGTGAGAACCACTGTTCTAACTAACGAGCTGCCAGGTGATTTCTAATTCATGAAAGAACTTTGTGTTTAAGAACAAGTTCAGGATAGCTGTCTGTCTTCTGGGCACGGTAGAAATCTGTTCGTATAGTATTGCCTCCAAATAACTGATCACTTAAATTTCAAATAGGTGGTGTGTTTGAGAAGAAAAAGGAAAGATTGGTTAGTGCAGTGAATTGGCAGCAGGCTATGGAATTTAGTTATAGTAACATTAAAGCCTGGCTATTTGCTTGGCGTGTAAATGCTGCCATGTCAGAGGAAATGCCTCCTATGCCTTAGAATACTACAAAGGCTTCCTGACATTGGGTAGCGTTGGAAAGCGGTCACTTTTGGAACTTGCATGCATCGGAGTTCCCATACTGTAGAACATGTGGAGTACTGTGAAACGTTGTTGAACTTTATGCAAATTATACCGCACTGGATTTTAAGATTGGAGAGGGCAGGGGGAGAGTGGAGGAGGAGGTTGGGGAAGCAGTGGTAGAAAAATAAATATATAATCTTGTACTATATTTTAAGCAAGGAACGAAACATTCCCTATAGGCCTGTGAAGTTCGGTCAAGTTCCTCCACCCTCCCGTGTCAGCTGGCTGATGCCTCCAAAACCTCTAAGATCCCCTTCCTGAAGCAGCTACCCAAACGCTAGCCTGACTGCCAGGGCGCCACCCTGCCTCACCCAGTCCTCGCGACAAAAGGCCGGCGTCCCCAAACTGCAGGCGGAAGCAGTGCGTCCTGGCCCCGCCCACGGGCTGTTCACAGGCTTAGCCCGTTGCATTTTTTTGTGATCTCAGGGCAGACCTGACAGAGATCTGCCAGTTCAGCCAGGAACCAGTGGCTTCCTTAAGGAATCTGAAGCTCAGAGCTCAGCGCGGGGCCTGTCGGGGAAACATGGGGAAGGGGAGAGCTCACTGGGAGGGCGCTCGTTTCCGGTTCCGGCTCCGGCTCCTCCTGACTTCCGGGCTGGGCCTCTGCTGGGCCTCGGAGGGGAGGAGGCGGAGGGCGGCGCGGACAGCGGAGACTTGGTTTCCTTCAGCTGGACGCGGTCTGAGAGCAGTCTGTCCACTGTTCTCTATGGTGCTTACAGGGTGGGTGACAGCTGTCCCCATCCGCTGTCCTTGGCACTGTGCCTTCCCACTGGTCACTGTGAAAAGCAGATCACACTGGACTCAGAGGCCAGAATCCGGACAATTTCCCCTCCCCTTGAGCCCGTCACTTCTTCGTACAGCTAATAATGTAGCGTTTCCTTCTCTGTGGGGAACACTCGGGGCTGTTCCCCGCGGGACAGTGAAGCCCGAAAGGAAGACAGGCCGCGATGGCCATCAGGTCGCACACCCCAGGGAGGCCGCTCTTCCTGCGGCTGGGAGCAGGGCCCCGCCGCGCCCTCGGCCTGGGTTTGCGAGCACTGCCGTGGCAGACGAACCCGACGCTGTCCACAACTCACTAATCAAGGATTCATACTAAAACAGACAATCAATTTCTAAAATATTGTTATCCCTGAAAGGGAGTGAGATAGTTTTTACCTATAAGAACCTACCAGTCTGTTTTTTTCCCTTTGCAAAAACTTACCCTTGGGGTTTGTGTCCTTCATCTGCAGCGATTCCTTCAAGTCGCTTCAAGATGCCTCCGAAAAGGCAGCGAGCCCGCCTGGCGCCCTTTCTTGCCCTGCCAGGGCGCTGGGCTGGGTCCGTGCATCCTACTTCCTTAGAGAGTATCTGTTTTTATTACGACCTTAATTATAAATACCTATATATAGGAATAGGATTTTCTCTCACCCCACCCTCTTAATCATTATCACTTACGTGTAAACCGCACCTCCCCCACACCCCTTTTACTGAAAAAATGCACTTTAATTCCTAAGGAGAGTGGCTGTCCCCGGCCCTGAAGCCAGATTACTGCAGGAGGAGAGTTGAGGGGGGAGAACCCTTGCCAGACTCTGTGAAATTAACCAAATTCCTTAATGTAAACACACGAATAACATCCATGTTTAAGCTGCCCCCACCCCCTGCCAAAGGGAAACAAACAACCAAAATGAAAAAGTTCAAAATGCCTACTCTGATTTTAGAAGTTTCGCTGGGGAAAACACCCAGTGTTAAGTTATCTCCTCAGCTACCAACCTGTCGGGAACTTGTGGGTGGTTTTGTGGGAGGCTGAGATCCTGTTCATTGGAAAGTCGGGTGGAATCATGCAGGCCGTCAGGCTGAGTCTGACTGTGTCTTGTCTTGGTCAAATTGTTCTCGCCCGCAGTTGGACAGGCGCTCTCAGCTCTCCTCCTGCAGACTCTGCCCTTCCCCTGATGATGGGCCAATATTCCTGGTGGCCTCGCATGTCTTCCAGAGCCCCAGGAGCCCACTGTGTCCAGGGGGCAGGAGGCAGGAGGTGGGGGGGGCAATTCAGAGCAAGGGTGAAGATGGGGTTTATATAAACATATTTAAAGCAGCTTAGCAGAGGCTTTCTCGTTGAACAGCTTTAAGAACAATGTGAATGAAACCTTAGCGACTTGGTGAGTAATCTGAAAAGTCTATTAATGTATACTTGAAATTCTGTTTGTATAAAAAAACACATTTCCTCTTTATTTTAACACTGTGTAAAAGAACATTATGCATGTGAGTGGTTTGAGAATTAAACGGTTTAATACTCAGATTCAAGTCCCTGACTTTTCTGTACATAGATATTGACGCGTTTTAAGTTTGGATTTTTTAGTAAAGCAGGAATCCGAGATTTCAAGCCCTCTGCCCACCCCCCTCACCCCCATGCCTGCTGTCTCTCAGGAGGATGTGCTGAGACAGCCTCACTGCCTCCACCCACAGGCGTTCCCTAGCAGAGGGCAAGGAAGGACACCCTTCTACCACATGCCCAGCAGCACGACTCTCAGTTTCTCCCTTCCTCGACCTTCATGGCAGTCGGCAACGTCCATTCATACTTGAGAGATGGGAGTAACTGTATTTATTTTTACCTCTACTCACAAACCGAAATAGGAAGAGGTGCAAAGAATAAGAACACATTAGTCAACACAAGGGTTGGCGACTCTGCCCATGAAGATAATAGTGTTCAGAGCAACTTCCCTTATCAGAACTAGGAAGGGCCTGTTGGCCTTGAAGGTCACCCTGTGGGGGTTCAGTGAACGGCCAGCGATCACGATGGAGGTACTAGCTGCTGCTTCACTGCCTTCCTCGTTTACCTGCGGGTCAGAGAGCAAACAAATGCTGCATTAGCCACTGCGCAGTTCCTCGGATGTGGGGACGTCATGGGCAGACACATCTGTTCTCCTCCAAGCGCTATCTGTTACCCAGGGGAGAGTACCCTTGGGTCAAGTCGAGTTCCCTCTGAAACCCTACTGGAATGTTCCTTATTTTCCCATCCAGTGGACATGAATGTAAGCATTTGTGCTCGTCCGTGCCTTTGGCTGGATCCACTCAGATAACCGCAGGACCAGAAATCTGGAGATAGACAGGGTTGTCCCATTTTTGGCTGGCACCGTTGTACGTGGTATCACAAGAGGATTATTTTGCACTTGATACTGAGAGAGATTCTGACTCAAGATCAGAGCTCTACAGTTGAGGTGGTTTTACTGTTGGAGCATCAGGATCCTGGATGTAACTGCCCCAAACAGCCACCCAGGACCTAGTCCTTATGAGGAGGGCGCTCCGGCTGGAGGAGATGAGCATTCCTGAGAGTAATAGACCGGGATGGGGGCTTCGGAGTTGGCTGATAAGCAGAACCGTCGCCGGTCTAAAGGAGACGCCTTTAGAGAACTGTTCGCGTGGGGACCCAGAATATCACTAAAAGTCTATCCTGGCCTCTTCACTCAAGCCCTTCGGACCCCTGAGCTTTGTGGAGCTGGTTGGTGGTGGTCTCTCTCCCCTCTTGCTCTGCCTCCTTCCTCACCCACCCCCATCTCCCCATGCTCTCTATTTCATAATCATTCTAGGACTAACTTTACGAGCAGAGCTTTACTAGAGCTTTTGTAGGACCAGTATTTTTAGTCAATCAGGTTCTGGTTTTTAATGCTTCCCAGGAGATTTACAGTCAGGTGGAGTCCTGCGCACCGAGTCCTTGAGGACTTCAAGGAAGACAGCTTTGTTCCCAGAGCCATGGAGGGACCTGGCATCACTGGTTGGTGGGCTCGAGGGGGACAAGTGGACCCAGGCCTTGCCTCTCCCCGAGAGTAGCTCAAAGCCCTCAAAGAGGCGTGTGTTGGCCACTTCGATTTGGGTCCCTCAGAGAGTATTTTTGTAGTTGAAGCCCCAAGGGCTCATCTTCCCTTGCAGCCTTTCTAAGTGTGCTTTCTCCCAGAATGCACGTGGAAGAGGGTGACAGTGGCATCGCTTTCACTTCTAACTCGGTGACTCCTGTGAGACCCCTTGTTCTGATCTCTATTAGGTTGCACCAGCTCGTCCAGCCCAGTGAGCATTGCCTTCACCTCCACTGAAGCAAAGCAGTCCCCTGGCCACACCTCCAAGGAGCCGTCTCCCTGAACTGCTGTCCCTCTGAAACTAAACTCACGTGGCCTCTGTCTTCCCGAGCTGCCTCATTCTGTCACTCCCACTACAATGAAGCTGACTTCCTCTTGTCCCCTGATACCTCCGCTCTCCACCGAGGGGGGCTCTGCCACTGTAGTTACTAGCACCGAGCTCTGCAACCTTTCTCTCTGAAAGCCTTCTTGCTTTGTGATCTCCATCCTGTGACCTTTCCTAACTTGCCCTCACAGCCTGGTTCCCCAAAGAATAATCTACAGAAGCGGCTTCCCACCCTGGCTGTATACCAAAATTCCCTTGAGGAGCTTTGAAAATAGACAGATTTGTGGGCTCCATCCCAGAATCACCAAGAGGCCAGCCCCCCAATAACTAACGCCGCCGGTGGCCTTAGTTCAGTAGTCCTCTGCGAACCAGAGTGGTACAAGCTTTCTGCAACTATGACTCTAGCCGTGGCATCTTAGTTGGGGTGACACCAGGAAAGCAATGAATACTCAGCTGTTCTCTTCCCTGGAGACCCTCTCGGACTTCCCCATGCTGCTGCGGCTTCATTCACGTTAGTATCCCAAGAAGAGGCAGTGCGTTGATTTAACCACCTAGCTTTCTGTTACCCACTCATGGTCTAGAGCACTGGTTCTCTGGAACGCACTTCAGAAGGCGGTCCACACTCACCAGCTCCCCTCCCTCCCTTCCCTGGGCCCTGGTCCCTTATCGTTAGGCTGCACCCCTGCTGTCCTGTCCAGCCACCTCGGGGAAAAGGAGCCCACGGTCACCTTCCAGTCTTTCTACAAGACGCTTTCCATTTCCTTAAAACTGCTCTCTGGGTTTCCACGAGCTCCCACTGTCCTGATACTTCCCAGAATTCCTTCTCGGGGGGGGGGGCCTTTGGTGGCTCCTTTTCCTATCTCACCTTGGCCTTTGTGTTTGTGTCCCCGTTTGACCTGCCTCCAGAGAGGCAGTGGGAGGGCGGGTGAAACAATCAGACCCCAGGGCTTCAGGGCCGGGGGTAGCAGCCCCCCTGCCCCGAGGAGGGGGCTGTGGCTTTGGGGTCTGAGGGACACCAGAAACAGCTCTCCCACCGTTGTCTCCTGCTGCTCACACATCTGTGAGCAGCCTGAGATGTCACTATCCTGTGACAGCCAGTGGAGCAGAAACCCTGAAGTTACAAATCACACGAGATACTGATGAACAAGTAATAAAACGGCATGAGATTAAAAAAAAAAATCAGAAGAGAAAGAGCACAGGGTGGCAGACTCACCTCGAGAAATGCCTTATGGAACGCATCCGAGACATAGAGGTCGTCCCGACCTTCAGCCACAATACCTGAAAGGAAGGCCAGATGTGGGCGAGAGTTGACTTTAACCAGCAGCAAGGAGTTCATTGGAGTGAAGAGGTCCTTTGGGGCCTTTTTGACAAGTAGGAGGCAATCCTGGCCCCTCCCTCACCTAACGATACCCTCAAAAGAAATGCGTGTTGACCGTAATGAAGGGCGTGGGCTTCTTCAGCCCGGCTCCTGTGGGTTTGGGCTCATACTTCGGCCCTTGGGTGAGGTTGGGGGACCAGGGACTCTGTTCTTAATGAAAAGTTCTCTCCATCGGGTAGGAATGTCTGTCTTTCCACTCTGGCAACATTTTAAAGAGAGGAACTGGTTTTCAGACCTAGCTTAAAGTCATCCCACTAAAGGTAAATTCAGCCACCTAATGTAAACTAATGCTTGAAAAAGATATTCAAATGCACCTTTTTAAAGGATGGTGCATTAGAGGAGCCAAATCAAGTGAACACCATGACCAAAATGTCACAGTGGGGAAATGTCCAGCTGTGTCTGTCCAAGTGACCTGGAGGAGAACACGCGAGTCCCGTGCCACTACTCAGTGTCCGCCCTGCTGTGTGTGGAACCCAGGTGGCCAGCTCTTCATCGCGTCTGTCTCTTTGCCCTGCATTCCGATGCCTTTTCAAGCTCTTCTCTACCTGGTCTCATCTCCTCTCTCAGTGACAACTCAAAGGGCTCTCGTGCCAGCTGGGCCTGTGGCCATCCAAGAGCCCACCCTCCTTTTCCAGAAGCAGAAACCGAGTGAGCAGGAGAGCTGGGGTGGAACCCCGCTGTCCTGGCTCGAGGCCCTTTCCCACCTTTGGTCAGACCGCCGAGGGGGCAGAGGAGGGAGGAAGGGCCCCGCTCCACTCACCCGGGAGCTTGGACTTGTCCGGGCTGAACAGGTCCACGAGGCCCATGTCTTGCAGCTGCTCCTTCACACTGAAGCTGTCCTCGATGCGGAAGCGGGGCATGTGGACCACCAGCATCGTCTCTACCAGCTCGTCCAGCCACTCCTGCAGCAACTCCGGGGACAGCTCCTGCTCCACCTTCGCCAGGCCCTTCTCTCGCGTGGGCAGGATGAGCACCATGGTGATGTCATCCCCCTTGAAGGGCAACTCGAGCACCTGGGTGCCCTCCGCCACCCGCCGGAAGCGGAATCTGCCTTCCTGGTACATCATGGATGCTGAGCACGACTCCTTATCGGGCCTGAAGAAAGGTTCCTTCCTGGTGTTCTCAGGGCTGAACTTGGACTTCCACAGGCCCTGGAAGATGATGTCAGGTGGGAGAATCATCAAGCAAGAAGACTGTATTGACCTGGGCATATTCACATTACTTTGTTACACTAACACGTATGTATCTTATTAGCAGAGCTGGCCAGAGGGGACTGCGTGAAAACATGAACAGCCGGGGTGATGGACTCATGAGTGTTTTCTTTCTGTCACCTTTCCTGTATTCCCCAGATTCCTAGCAGTGGCTGCCTATTTGCATTTATAACAAGAAAAATAAAAACTAGAACAATCCCTGGCTGGTGTAGCTCAGTGAATTGAGTGCAGGCTGCGAACCAGAGGGTCACCGGTCTGATTCCCAATCAGGGCACATGCCTGGGTTATGGGCCAGGTCCCCAATAGGGGACCCATGAAAGGCAACCACACATTGATGTTTCTGTCCCTGTCTCCTTCCTTTCCCCTCTCTATAAAAATAAATAAAAATTAAAAGAAATTTCTGAGTTGTGCCATTCCTCATCATCTTCCGGCTCTTTGATTTGGGTACCAGTCATTTAACTCCTTGAGTGATGGGTCTTCATCTGTAATGTGAGGAGCTACTGATCACTAATACCTTGGGCCAGGCTCTGCTCCAAGCCTGTTCGTGTATTAACTAAGTCCCCTCAGTAACCCTTGTGAGGTAAGTATATCATTACCACCATTTTATAGATGCAGAAATCGGGGCGGAGAAAGGGCTCGGTAGCTAGCCCAAGTTGTCAGAAATGGAAGAGTCTGGATTTCTACTAAGGAACCTGTCTGAGTGGCCCAAGGTCTCCTTTGTGATGTTAGGAGGATTGGGAGGGCTAATAAATGGCCCGGAGTTCTGCGAACGGTCAAGGCCAATACACACTGTGGAAATGCAACCTACTTCGCTCTTGGAGAGTTGGAAACCCCAAGCAATGCAGTGGTGCTAGGGGTAGGGGTCAGCCTGCCTGTGGGGCATGACTCAAGAGGGGCAAATGTGCCACAGTGCCACTAGTCTTCAGCGGGTGACCCTCCAGAGTGGGTCAGTAATCTATTTATTCCCCATACGCTTGCCCTCATCCTCCCTCCACGCAACCAGCCCAGAAGAATCTTTCAAACTCTTGACTCCCCGAGACAGGTGAAGCCCCGCTGCCCCTTCAAATCGCAGGGCCTCTGCAGAGGTCGAGGTCAATACCTTGAAGTAAATGGTGTTGACCAGCACCATTACAGTGAACTCATCAATAGCCCCCGGGGGAATGACGTCAGTGATACGCCCTTCGGTCTTATTGGATATCCACTGGTTGATGGTCGATCTGGACTTCTCTGCATTTTCCTAAGGAGAACCGGAAACAAAGCTGCCCGCCTGTGCTTGTAGCCGTCTTCCCCGGTGCCCTGCTCAGCGCTTCGTTTTACCCAGCAGCCCTCTGCCCTCGCCCACCCCTCGGCGACGCCATCACCCTCACCCAGGCTGGGGAAGCCTCATGCGTCTAGTCTAGTGCCGGGGTCAGCGTTCCCCCATGTTCTGTGGGAAGCTAATGAGTGATGAGGGTGCAGGGAGAGGGGGGACATTCACGTGGTCAAAAAAGCCTGAGAAAGAAGCTTGAATTAAACTCGGCGAGACTTCTCAGACAACAGCTCCGTGAACCTCCATGCGGAGCGCATGACACGCGCCATATGCCAGTTTCGTTTAACCGTGGTAACTTTAAAACACTGACTGAAGAAGGCATCTTGCCGGACTGACGTGTCCCACATAGCGTTTGGTATGTATGTGAACTGGGTGGGTGAAATGAAGAATTTATTATGTGTACCACTTTCGCAGGGCATCACTACCATCCATAGATAACACTGACTTCTCAGGCTTCAGGCAAGAGCACGTGTTCCAGGGGTTCTGACTTACAGCCCCCTCCCTCTGCCTTTAGCTGGCGTGGCAGGCTGCATCTGGCCTCTGCTTCTCCATCTCCTCGGTCTCGGAGTGGAGAGGGAGGAACTGGGAGGTCTGGGGTGACGTGTGTCACTCACCTTGAAGTCCAGGGGCTGGAGCTTGGCTCCATATACCAACTCGCTGATGTCCTGGTAGGTCTCATTGAAAGTAAGGGACTTGTCTCCAAAAAGGCGGTTGGCTGACACCAACTGGGAGGATTTGTTGGCCTTTCGATAGAGCCGGCAGTTGAGTTTGGCAAAGAAAAAATGGATCTGATCGGATGTCTTCTCAGAGATGGTATCGAACTTAAAAACCTGTAGAGGCCACAAGGAAAGGGGGGGTGAGTCTGGACGAGAGAAGAATGAAGGACAGGAAGGATAAGAGGAAAAGGAACCGGAGAGACCAGGAGAGCGGAGAGCACCAGACACCTCCAACGGGCTCCAGACCGAGACCCCACAGGGAGCCGGGCGGGAGGCTGTGGACTGTACCTCCATCAGCTGCTGGAGGGTGTCATTGCAGGCCCCCAGCTTGGTCATAGCAAAAGCCGTGGAGATGCTCAGGGGCGACAGGAAAATGTTGTCATCGTCTTTCTTGGAGTCCGCCAGGTGCTGGTAGAAGACTGTGGCGAAGCGGGAGTTGGCCTTGGACAGTTCCCAGACCCGCCGGTTGGTGGCCTCAGGAACCTTCTGGCCTGAGCCCGCCTCCTCGGGGGCCTTCTTCTCTGGGGACCGGTGAATGCACATGGGGTTCACAGGGATGTCCCGAGGCTTGGCTGTGCAGATGTCCTCTACAGGGCCCCTGCGACAGGTCACGCAGCCCCAGAGGCCAATGAGCAGCAAGGACAGGAGACATACCCTCCTGCAGGTGACAGAAAGCTGAGTTAAGCTAGGCGGGGAGACCGCATCCCCAACTGCCCATCACGGAGCTGCCCCACGAAGCATAGACGGGATGCCAGACGACCCATGTGACCTTGGACTTTGTAAAGCACAGGGGCCTAGGACAAGTCCAGTCCTGTACTCCTTGCAAGTGGACAGTTCATGTTGAAACTGTAATCAACTATTGAAGCAACCAATGGTGCCCAGGGCCCCACGCAGGGAGAAATAAAGAACGCGGAGCTTCCAGTTGGTGACGCGGGGCAGGCACGTCTGAAACACAGGAGGGGACTTTGGAGCCAGTGAAGACCGAGGGTGGCAGTGGGGGCCGTGTGCAGAGCTGTCTAGGGCAGACCAGGGGAGCGGACGGAATTTCTCCCCGGGCGGTACAGGCCCGGAAGGATTTCCACCGACACAGCAGAGGGACGTCAGTGACACAGGCAGGGAGGAAGGAGCAGGTGCCCAGGGGCGCTAGCTGTGAGCTGACCTCCCGCAGTGGCAGCTCCAGCCCTGCGTGGGGCCCCAGCAGAGTGTTTGCCGGTCACCTGTGCCCCCGCCCCCACATGTCCTGCTCTTTCTGTAGTGATCCCCCACCCCACACCCGCTTCTCCTTCCGTGTCCTCCAGCTCAGCAGATGGGACCCTCAGCGCCCTGAGGTCCAGAGGCCTGGGAGTCAGCCTGATTCCTCCCTGTGCCCCTCCTTCTTCAGTCAGATGGAGACTAATTTTTCCCCTTGCTCCTCATTGCCTTCGCTCAAGCCTTGTCCTTTCTGGTTGCGGGAAATCTCAATAGCTTCCAACATGAGCTCATTAAAGGTTGATGAAACTACTCTCGCTTAAAAAAGTGAGATCATGAGATTGACAAATTAGAATCGGGACACGGATTGAACAAACCAAGGGAGACACTCTCTTTTGGAGTTTTGTGGCCGGGCCAGGGTGGGCCAGGTCTTCCTCTGGTGTAGGTCCCTGGGTCTGGGAAAGGCAGCGTGTATGTGGGCACCGAGTCTTCTCAATCTTCCCTGGGCAGGAGAAGACGGGCGCACAGGGCAGAAAGGATTCTCTGAGGAGTCTGCTGGGCCAGGGTGGGGCTGGCCGGCAGCTGGGGCCACCCCTTCCCCGTGGTGGGACCTGAGGCCAGCGCCACAGCCATGTGAAGAACAGAGGCCAGGGTGGGAGGGCCGTGGAGGTGTTGAGGCAGAGAGGCAAGGGCACGGGGGACATGCAGAATCTTGCCACTCATCTCCCCATCTGGCTGCCCTCGTCTTCCACTCTGTCCCTCAGCCACACCTGGAAACGCAGCTGGGGGCTGGGCGGCCCCGGAAGCTGGCTTAGACATGAAGGAAAACCGAGATGTCCTAGCCGCAGCCTCCCGTCTAGCTTCCTGCAGATCAAGGAGGGAGTATGTGTGGTGTCGAGGTGGGAGAACAGGACTGCCATCCTTTGGTCAAAGGTCACCGAGACCTTGGAGGGAGGCAGCCACGCAGGAGGAGCAAAAAGGGAGTTAGGAGGCCCCTGCAGATTAAATTTGCATCACTTCAGAGGCATGGCCAGTCCAGGCTGCCCCTCGGAGGGTCTCCTGGACCACTGTGAGGACCCCAAGGCGTGGCTTAGGGAAAGGTCTTCGATGGTCGCCCCAGGCAGAGGGCCTGGGCTCCTCGCAGGTGCGGAGGTCATCCTCGGGGCTCCTGCAGAGGTCAGAAAGCCCAGGGAGGGCAAGCGAAGGCCAAGCTCACCCCTCTTACCTTTTCCCAGCAGCTCCAAACCCTGTCCCATAGGAAAACATGGTCGCTAGACCTCCCGGGGCTCGGCAGGTGGAGGTCGTGTGATCCGAGGCAAACCCTCTGAAAACTGGCTCTTTCCTCTAAATCCGAGGTTCCAGAGGCTGGGGTGGGGGAGGGGCTGGCGAGGACGTGAGGACAGAGGTCAAAAGCTGATGACCAGCAGCCAGGGTTAAGCAAAGCATGGGGCCCAGCGTTATTTAATTAGTGGAAAAGTTTTAAAGTTCAGGCGGGTCCAGGGAAAGCAAAGCCAACCTTTCTCCTTTATCCTCCCTCTCTCTCTTCTCCATCTCAACCAAACAGGCCCAAGAACATTTGCACATTCAAACCTGGTCCGAAAAACACCTGGCTGAGGCCGACTTTGCAGGATTGCTCTTCCCGGTGAACCAAACTGGGAGGTAGGAGCCAAGTGACCGTAACTAGCCTAGCGGAATGTTCAGAAATTCTAGCCTTCCACCCGCAGAGTTTCTACCCACTCCGTGGGTAGAAACACAATGCCCTCTCTTTCACAGCTGTGTTTAGGGGAAGGGAGAGAAGGGGAGCGTCCACTGCATCCAATCAGAGTGGGGAGAAGAGGAATGTTGTGGAACAAGGTACTACCTCCGGGCTTCTAAACCGACACATCCGTGCTCACACGTGCGGTCCACAGATGGAGCCTTCCCCACCTGGCCCCAAAGGGACCGAGGCAGAGGCCTCAGGGTCCTCAGGGGCACGCCCAGGATGCTTCCGAGGCGGCAGAGCTGTTTGGGAGGTGCCGCACACAGTTCTTCTGGGGCTCAGGAGACAGAGCGTAGGGCAGGTAAAAACACAACTGCTGAAGCACTTTAAAGTCAAAGTCACGGTGGGCCTGTGTTGTTATTTCTACCCAGTTTCGTTACAGGGGAGACTACATAAACTCCAACCAGTGGGGACCAAGGGCCCGATTATATTTTTCTCTTCCCGAACGGCCCAGAACAGCATCGCCAGGGCTGCAGAGACAACCTTCACGCTCAGACAGGGTGAACAGGTGCCCTCCGTGTGCCTACAGGCTCCTTTTCGTTGGCCCAGCCCCAGGAATTCTAGAGACTTCTCTAACCGTTAGATACGAAACCTCTGTCGAGACTGAAGCTGTACCTAAGCTCTGGGCTGCTTTAGACCCTGGACCCCTTGAGGACTCCCTCCCATGTGCAGTGATTTCCTTTTCTGTTTTTGAACCTGGCGATGTGCCCCTGTTCCACAAGGTCTTGACCGTGAGTGAGAAGGGTGTTGTGTATTCCACAGTGGCTTTGGGGGGAGGGGGCAGAGTTGCGGGCAGCACCAAAGAGGAACTAGAAAGCCCTGAGCCCCCGGGGTGACCAAGGAGAGAAGGAGACGGAGACAAGCCCAGTTCAGCGTCTGCGGGGTGGGTGCAGGCGTTGAGGCGTGCCCGGCCTGGCCGGAAGTTTCTAATAGCTACAGGTGTCCCATCATCTGTGACTTGACGTTCGCTTAGGTCAAATTCTTTAAATCTTTGAACATGATCATAATAATAGGTACCACATTAAACACCTGCTATACATATATGTTTATGTAGAAAACCCGGTTATACAGAGAACCCAGTTATCACAGAATTCTATAACATACAAAAAGTTCTGCAATATCATTGAAGGAAGTACCTTCCAATAATAAAAGTAATATAATTTTGAAATACCAGTTGGTAACATTGAAAAGCAAATAGGATCGGACTATAAAGAAAAATCACAGCACGTTAACAAACGGATTGACAGTGGTCAAGTCCAAGGCCTGTGGGCATTCCAAATTGTTGTATAAATCAGGAGAAAGTCAGCCTTCTCGGAAGGATTGCACTGCCTGGAATCTCTAACACCCCAAGTGGTGGGAAAATCACAGGATGCCTGGAGTGACCCCCTGGCTTCTTTGCCACATAATCACTCGCTGTCCGATCTCGGACGTGCAGCTCAACCTCCCACAGGGGCAGGCTTTTTAAATCTTAGATGTGCACAGAGTACTGAGCTCTCGGGGACTGTTAAGAATTAAAGATCGTCCATTGGTCTGTTGTCAGAGTTAATACAGTTGCACTTCCTCCTGGGAAGACAGCTAAATCTATTTCTAGCCTCCCCCAGCCTTGAAGTTAGGTGGGGCCACCAGGTTAAGTTCTGGGTGACAGGACACATGTGTGGCCCCTGAATGTCCCCCCGCCACGCTGGTCCTCCGAGTTCTGTCTGCCATGCTCAGGCCGGACAACCTCAGGACCTCGAGGAACGTGAAACATCTCTGCGTCATCCGGCCTGGCTGCTGGACCACTGTCCTCCCAGAAGACCCCCACTCGACCATGATGTGCACATGACTCTGACCGTGGCGCTGGCTGTCAGACACCCCCGAGAAGCTGCTGTGGTGGTTCCCTTTCCCCGCCGTTCACTGGCAGCGTCTGTGCGACACATGGCGTTGAAGGGAAACCCACCGACAGTCCGAGTGCCGCTCAATCTGATCTGATTAATTAACATTTAAGGGACACTTTTGTGGCAAGGACAGGCGTAGACACTGGGAGCAGAATGGTAAGCCCAACACCCTCCCGGACCTCGTACAGCAAATATTCTAGTGAGTGAGACCGACAATAAACGAGCTAATTTACATACACATATACACAGACGCGCACACATGTATGTTCTTTTAAAAACCCACTCCCCTGTCTATCAGGATCCATGCTCAGTGCTTTGCAAGCCTATATAGTTTTCTCGTCTGGGAAACACTGTTATGCCCCGTTCTCGAGGGTTAAGAACTTGCCCCAGTCAGAAAGCAGAGATTCGAACCCTTGTCTGCCTGTCTCACTGTGGGGACAGCGTCCAGTCCACTTGTTTCCCTGGGGCCAGACTTAGGACACGTCACCCTCGGGCTCCTCCCTGCATGGTCTCCATCTACCAAGATTGTCCACGGTTCCCTCCAAACCCAGGCCCAGTGAGGAGCCTGGGGGCCACCACCTTTTTCTTCAAGTGCCCACATTCTGCTAGAAAACATCTGTTTCCAATGCACATCCCAGAGGCAGGTTTCAGTGGGTCCTGGAGGGTCCCTCACGCCACCCTGGTCGCACTGCCGCCTCTCCGTCTCTAGACTTTGACGACCAGAATCCTTCTCTCTCCTCTCATTTCTTTGTAGTTTGGTTTGATGAGGAAAAGAAAAAAGCTTGTATGCAGAGGGGAAAACCACCCCGGGTTTGTCTGTCTGTCTGTCTGTCTGTCTACACACACACACACACACACACACACACACACAACACACAGTGGCATTGGTAGTCTGTAACATGTTTTAATAAATGTGCATGTTTATATATGTAAAAGCACATTTAAATCAAATTCTTCATGGCAACATCTGGCTGTTTCTGGAAGGGGGGCTGCTCGGGGGACTTCTCTCAGGTGGATTCTAGTTACGGCAGAGGGTCCCCCACTTTGGGGCGGCACAGCTTTTCTCTCTTCTGAGCGGAGAAAAGGTTGAGAGCACCTCCTAGGAACTCTGTGCTTTGCTGCGCTCGGGGGAGGGGGGTGCATTTGGGGAGCCAGGGAGAGGGAAGAGTGTAGCATTCAATGACCCTCCCTTTTAGAAAATAGTTTCTCCAAGGTGAGTAATAAAATTAAAAGTCCCTCGGCCCCTCGCCCCGCCTCTGGCCTCAGCAGTAGCTGCTACCAGCAGGTAACTCGGCTGGTCCCTGCCTTCACCTCACATCCGGGCTGTTCTTTGCTTTGGATTCAAGAGCAAGACCTTGGCGGGAACAAACAGCAGAGCATGGATCCTGCCGTGGTTACTGAGTAACTCGAATCTGAGCTCTTCCTCGGAAATTCAGCAAAACACCTGGCACCAGAGCCGGAGTTGTCTCCCGCCCGCCTGTGCTTCCAGTAGACCGGGTGGAGATGGCATTTTAATTAAGGCACAATCAAGTTCATCAAACTAAGTCCTGCATTATATCATTTGGCACCTTGCCGGTGAAACTCCCCGAGCAGCTCCCTGGCATCTCTGTCCAAACTCTCACAACCGTTAGAAAGTTCGGCGCGGGTTTCAGGGAAACCCAATGAAGACAAATATTTATTGAGCATGCCCAGTGCCAGTGTCACCGGGTCTCCAATGTCCTGGGTACTCGATAAATATTTGTGTTTGAAGAAACCCAGGATCAGAGCAGTTTTGCTGATTTATTAACAGGAACATACTTCGAATTCCTCCCAAGTGGAAAGTTACCCAGTAAAATAAAAATGCCCCCGGATTCCAAGGAACTGGCGTGAGCAGAAACAGCAGGCGAGGGCGTTCTCAAGAGGCCGAGCACAGGACAGTTGCGTGGCATCAAAGCTCACGGCTTCTACGCTGGTGCAGGGGGTCGTAGGTGGTGAAAGAGACAGAGAAGGGCAGGGGCAGAGCGCAGGGCGGGGTGGTGGGAGGAAGCTCCCTGGGGGGACGGGGGTGGGTGGAGCCGCTGGCCCAGAAGCAACAGGAAGGAACTCAGTAAAGCTAGTTTAGGCCAAGGGGGTGTGTTTGCATAAGCACAGGTCAGCTAGGTGACCGGTCCCTGCTCCCCACCTCTGCCAAGGGCTGCTCGGGCCACCCTGACCCCGTCCATCAGTGAGGCAGAAACGAGGGACTAGGAACGAAGTGGGTTGGCAGCTTCCACGCCATCAGACCTCATTGCAGGTCTCGGGCTCTCCCCAAATGGCCAGCAAGAGCACTAGCAGGTGCCGCCTGGGCATGGGGCACTTGAACTTCAAACAGACACCGGATTCAGGAACCACTTCTTGGGTGGCTACATAAGTTCAGCTCCCCAGGGAGTGATGCCAGAGGCAAAGGCCTGGGGGCTGTTCCCAGTTAGAGACTTGGGCTGACCCTCCGGTCCACCCTGGGTCCGGGAGTTCCTCAGCTTCCCTAGTGCCTTGTCAGGAAGACAAAAGGCCTTGTCAGGCTGAGGAAGTCCAGCGGGCACCCTGCCCATCCCAGTAACATGCAGGTTTTTTGGACGTGGCAGGACAAGAGGGCAACAACAACCTGAGATGACTGGGTGGTAACTTTTCCCCTCGAACCTCACGACTGGAGAGCAGACCCAGTGCTTGGTCAAGGGAACTCTGGAAAGCAGCTGATGCTGGTGGCACCCGTTTGGCCCTTTGGCAATGCCACACACCTGTGCCACCTGCTCTCAGGAAGCCTCAGTTAAACACCATCTTGGGAATCCCTCCTTGCATCGGTAACAGACCTCCGTCCCTCCCCAGAACCCAAGGACCACATCAGGCTCAGGCTTGAAATCTTGCCTGGTTGTTAAAGGCTAAAATCCAAGCGACTCAATGCACACAAAGCCTTTCCAGACCTGGCCTGGACCTGACTCGTCCAGCTCCTACTTCCAGCAAAAGACCACGCTCTCCTGGGCCTCTGTGTGCACTCCCAGGCTGGAGGCTTTGCTCCCCACTGGGGTCATCATACCAAGCCCGGGACCTTCCAAGACCCACCCTCTTCAGATGTGAAAACCTTCCTGACAGTGACCTGAGGTGACAGCAGCAGTGAGTGGGTCCTCACAGCATAGGAAAATCCTGCAAAAATGTCTCTGTGCCCAGCTGCAGATGGCCTGATGGTAGACAAAGTAATTCAGGCTCAAAGCACTTTTTCTGCAAACCTCGCTAACCCAGCAGATTTTCTGAAGCGTCTGCTCCCATCTCTCAGGATAAATATTTTGTATCCTAAGTTGTATCTGAATTCTCTCAATACTTGGGCCTGGGTTCAGATGAAGGAGAAATACATGCAGATATAGCCACAGCCCCTAGGGCTCCAACCAGGGGCAGTTGGTAGCAAGGCCCCCCTAGTTCAAGCTGTATGTGGCGGCTCCTATAATTGGCAGTGATGCTGGAATTCACAGAGCAGACAGGAAAACAAGGGATTCGTGGAGTTACTTTGTGTAAGGCTCAAGTTGGGAAAAACTGGGCTCAGGCTTCAACCAGTAGGTAATGGCATGTTTGTTCAGCTAGTGCTGGCAAATTCTCCAGCCTCATTGGTTGGTCTGAGGTTTGGGGGCCATGTGTTCAAGTTCAAGGGGGAAAATGCTGCAGGCTGGAGTCCGATAAGGCACACAAGGTGCTTGGACAGGATTTTGGAGGGAAGAGACTACTATGGCTATTTGTGACAGGCCCTTGAAAGGCACAGTTACTATTGTGTAGGGATGGTACTGGACCTGTTGGTTTTATCTTTAAAAATGGAAAAATAACACCCATAGTAAAAAGATAGTTCTGCAGACAGAAGCAGTCTTCTCAGAGAACATAGCAACTGTGAGACTAACAGACCCAATGCCATTGCATTGAAAGACTCAAATTGCAGACATACCGCACTGGCTGGTGTGCCTCAATGGTTTCAATGGCAGCTTGCACACCAAAGGGTCACAGATTCGATTCCCAGTCTAGGGTACACGCCAGGTCCCCAGTAGGAGGTGCGTGAGAGGCAACCACACATTGATATTTCTTTCCTTTTCTTTCTCCCTCCCTTCCCCTCTCTCTAAAAATACGTAAGTAAAATCTTTCTAAAAATTGCAGACATTTTGCCCACACCTGGGACTGTGGCTACTACTACAATCACACCTGCTTTGACCTTTGAACATATTATGAAATGGACGGCCTCAAGTGTTATGAAAAACCTGGTGGACCACACCATTCCTGTGGTTTGAAAGTCATGACACCCTGGGAGCTTGGCTGCACATTCCCAGTTCACTTCCTCGGCAACCTAACTTTAAAGCAAGCACATGAAGCTCTCTCAGAGCCAGAGAGTAGATGCTGCATGAAGACCCTTCTATGGGACTTCTGGCTGCAAATTCTGACTGATCTGATACTTTGCTCGGACAGTTGCAGCCTTATCCTGGCTTTACAGGTGGGAAGGGTTGAGAAGATTTACTGACTTTCACAGAATAGTGTCTCTCCTAGAAACCTGATGCTTTTAATAGCCATTATGATTTAGAATGACGGATGCACGCTGAGCTTTGCGTTAGAACCAGTCATCTTTATTCTTGAAATCAACTAGTGCTGTTCGTATGACTTTAGTTCTGTGGTATATGGAATAGTTGCATTTTTACTATTACTGTAGTACATTTAGAATAATTGCTTTTGACAGTTCTTTTGGTTCTCTCTGTGTGTAGTGTGTGCCTCTGTGAAACACTAACAGAATAACACTGGTTTCCCTCCGTGTAAGCATTATACAATATATGGAGGTTGCAAGAGACTGTATTAATTATTCAATTTTAACTATCTTCACTCTATATGCTTGAACTGTTGCCTTAACTATGCTAAGCACCTAGAATAAAAGACAAAATAAAAGTATTGCTGCCTTTCTAAAACCTTTGTGTAAATACACAAAATGCAGTTGTGTATTAAACCGAAATGCACACCAGCCCAGAACAACTTAACCGCACACACTGGGCTATAGTGCAGCGGTGTAGTTACATTTCAGATGTTCTAGTCATTGCGTGATGGAAGCTTCTTCTTTCTAAAGTTATTGGTAGCATGTTGAGAATGAATCACTACATATTTTATGTGAAAATTCTTGTATAAAGTAGGATAAACTTTTGCATTTTTAGATTACATGGGATGGTATTTTCCTCTTAACATTATGTGATCTAGCTACTTTGGGATGGTCTAACAAGGAAGTCCTGATAATTTTCTATTTCCTGACTCCTCCCTGTAATCAAAATGGCATCGACGCTTTATCCCGATTATTTTCTTTTTTGGTTTATGCCTATTCCAATTAAATATTTATATGTATAAAGTTGCTAAAACAAACAAAAAAACCTTCCAGAATCTCCTTGCTCTCCAGCCCTCCACATCTTCCCGTCAGTAGTCTCCAGGTAATTATGTCATATCTCATTCATTTCACACAAATTTAAGTCTGATCTGCAGAAACTGGGCCATTCTGCTGAAACCGCCCATCACACAGAACCCGACCGCTCCAACGTGTGGTCTTCAGACAGACAGCGCCGCTGTGATCTGGGAGCAGGTTTTCTCAGGCCCTGCTCCTGACCTGCCAGACAATAGCTGCATCTTTACAAAAGCGCCAGGGGAACCGTGTGCTCACTAATCTCAAGAAGCAGACAGGGAAGTGATGCAAAAAATGCAGACGGAGAGGCACCAATTGGATCCCTTCATCCCCTGCTTATAGCCCTTCCCAGGATTCCCTTTTACTCTCAGAGTAAAATCCTGACACCTCAGCATGGTCCATGGGGCCTCCTTGGTGACCAGCTTGCCTCAGCCCAAGCCACCGTCCCGTGCCTCTCCCCGAGCCTCAGTGACTTCGCAGTCTCCGTGACACAGCTTGCTTCATTCCCAGAGCGCACTCGGCCCGTTTTCGCTGACTAGGGGTCTGTCTCCAGCATTCCTCCCATCTCCCCCATTCTCCAAGTCTCACCGTCAAGCCACTTCCCCAGGAAGGCCTTTGCTCCCCCTCCAGGCAAAGCGAAGCCTCCTCTGCACAGCCTCACAGCTCCTTGATCTTTTCTTCCAAGAACTGTGGTCGAAGGGTCCATTGCTGATCCTGTCCAGGGGGTTTAGATGATCATTACCTATTTTTAAACTGTACACACGTCCAGTTCAGTAACGGGAGTCCCAGCCCATGGTAGGGAGAGATAGTTCTCTTTACCCTTGACAGGGTGGCATGTATACAGAAGAGTATACTGTCAACTACTTTAGTAAATACTGTGGTGGGTTCTCCATGAGCAGTTGTCTTTACATGTTCCAATGAGCCACCGTGGTGGACAGCAGAGGGGTTTACTGGTGGATCGTTGCAGACTAGCTGGTTACTGGGATTGAAGTGCTAACCCCGCCCCCTACCAAACTTGCATCAATTGGCGTGAGCCTCAGTCTAGGGGGCCCCGAAGTCCCCAGCAGCTGCAGCTGTGAGCACGGTGAGCGGTGAAGACTCGGGTCTGCTCATGAAATTCCCACTCTAGACTGTGTAACACTGAGGGACAGTTGCAGTACTTACCACCTTTCGTTCTCCTGAGCCTTTTTCACTCCGGCCCCTTCTCTTGAGGTCAGATATGGTACCTATGGGCACCTCATTGCTAATTGCTGGTAGGACTAAGGAACCTGCACTGGAAATGTATATATTAAAAAAAAGATATTTAGCAGTTCTAGCCCTGACCAGTGTGGCTGAGCATCATCCTGCAAAGGGTTGCCCGTTTGACCCCTGGTCGGGGCACATGCCTGGGTTGCAGGTTTGGTCCCCAGTCAGGGCGAGTGCAAGAGGCAACCGATTAATGTTTCCTTTCTTTCCCTCTTTCCCCCCTCTGTAAAATACATAAAACCTTTAAAAAAGGTATTTAGTCACTTTAAACTCCAGCCATGGTTAGTTAGGTAGCTTTTTTAAAAAGATGGACGTTTTCTTATGTGGCTATCATCACACTGAACAAAACCATCACTCCCTGATTCTATCTAACACCCAATACTTAATCAAACTTCCCCAGTGATATAAAAAATGGCTTTGCACATTGGGTTTGCTGGAATCAGAATATAAACAAAGCCTACATGTTGCATTTGACTCTGGCATCTCTTCAGTTTCTTTGAATCTGTAGTGGGGTTCCCTCCCCTTTTTTCTTTATGTCTTTTTTCTCACGTAGGAGAAAACAAACCTGCATTTATCCTCCGGCTGCAAGGAACAGCTGATGGGTGGGGGTTTCAGGACAACTAGGAGTCAGTAAGAATGGACTGATAAAAAGTCTATCGGGAAGGCATCCCAGCAGGTCCGAGCTGCTTCCCTGTAAGAGGCTCCGATTTTTAAGAGAAGCCACAGAAGCCAGGACTTTGGGTGTTAGTCCCTGAGGCTGATGGTCTCGGAACCAATACCTCACTCCCACTGCGCAGTCGGTGGGTGAGAAATGAAGGCATTTGGGCAGCAGTGTATGTTAAGGTTGGACTGACTCCTATGACGTCTCTGAAAATCTGGCTACTACAAGTACGTGTCTGCTTACGCACATGATCTACTTCTCTGTTTTTCACCTAAAAAGAGGTGTAAGAAATGACTCCCATGGTTAGAATAAGATGGCACAGACTCGTACAAAAACACACCACACAGTTCCTCATTAATTTATCATTTAATATAAATGCTGACAGAAAGCAGATAAAGACCTTGTAGATACTTTCACATATTTACAAACCAAAAGGCGAATCACCTCCTTCTACACGTTGGAATAATCCCTTTATCTGCAACTCGTGGGAGCCCTAAACACTAACTAGGAGCCACATGAGGCTGAGTCAGTTTTCCAAGGTAATGAAGGAAAAAGCATTTTTAACAAAATGTGGCATCTTTGAGATAAACAACATGCACGTGAATAATACAAAATTGAAGATGGCTCTAATCCTCTCAAAAACCTGCAAAAAGTGGAGTACGACCTTATTCCGATGCGGAGTTCTGCTGCCCTAAACATCTTCCTACCACTATTTCTGTTTTTTTCCACCTCACTTGATCACAAAGCTATTTAAAAAAAAAAACAAAACTAGAGCTATAAACAGATTTTTTAAAAAGAGAGGAAAACAGCTCATTTCCAATGGGGTTCTCTTCCCTATTCCAAAAGGACTTCCAGGAAAGAAAGTCTTCAAATAAGATTTCAGCTTGCCAAATGCTAAGGAACGATTCATAGCTTGTGAAATTCAAACCTACTGTCCATCTTCACTTCTTTTTAAAGTTGAAAACATTGGAAAAAGTAAAATTTCACAAGCCCAGCGATTTAAAAATCAGCTGTCACTTCAAGGCCCAATATATTTTTTTTTCTGAATAGGTGACGGAGGCAGACAGAGCAGGGAGCTGAGGCAAGAATAAAAATAGGAGGCAAAAAAACTTTAAAAAGTATCAGGTCTAGCACTGATTTTTAACACCAAGAGGTTTAAATTTCGCCATGCAAAACTGTGATTTCATGAAATCATTTATTCTCTGACTCAAATCTCATGGGCTCCTTTATTAACCTATATTATTTTTGTCTTAAGTACACCTCTGCCAGGCACAATCACATACAATCAATACGATTGGTAAATTACACAAGCTCTATCCCAAGCAAATATGTATTAATGTTAAAAAGTTATTTAAACAAAACAAAATAAAATCCACCCAAAAAGGTGATAATGACTGCAGAATGTCTCGGGGAGACTGGTATGAACCTAAAGACCAAATTGACCATAGTCAGGGGGGCAGCGGGGTGAAGAGGAAGAGAAGCACACACAGGAACAGGAATCTCACAACTGGAAAATGTTCAAGTGGGTGAAAGGTTCTGTTCATTGTCTTGATTCACTTTTACCACTGCTCTTGTTCCAAAAACTCATAGATTCATCATGAAGTAAGATAATGAGGCCCAGGGAATCAATGGATAAAATGAAAAAACAAAATTTTCCCCCAAGTTCCTTTCATTTCCAGGAGGTAGGAAGAGAAGCCAGGAGAAAGGGGATCATGAAAATTGAGACAACACACCTGTTGAAAGTAGTTCCCAGAACAGTGTATTAGTTGAACAGAGGATGTAAAAATAATGAACAAAAGCTTAAAATGCCTTCAAATTAGAGGAATATTTTACAAGGTGGTTCAGATATTACACTAAAAATCATTCTTTAAAATCAGGCAAAACAAGGCAAACCAAAAAACAACAACAAAAAAAACAAGAAAAAAAATTCCAAAACAAAAAAGCCACCAGACACGCAACGGTTTGCTTCCATCCTTTCCTTGACCCTTTCAAACACTGGCTGGGGGGCGGGAGAGGGGAGAGGCTACTGGACAGTTTCCAGTCATGACTCTGAGTGAGGGGACAACCTAGAGTGGATGCCAAAGACTTGTGAGAGCCGTCCGCTTAGTGACACCAAACCAAACCAAACCTCAACACAAGAAAATAACTCACTTCATGTAGTACACAACATACGAATACCACAGGATTTAGTTTTTCTAGATATGCATTTTGGGGGGGACACAATCTTGTCTTGAGGTTTAAGTTCTCTCTCTTGGGTTATTGTGCCTTATTTTCTCTTGAAAATAAAGGTTATGACTCTTGGGATGTTTTGCTCAGAAATAAAGTTTGGGGGAAATTCTGTGTATGGCTAAGAGTTCAGAGGCTCTGCAAGCGAGAATTCCAGTGGCAGGTTAAGTCCTTGGATCACAGAGGATTTCAAAAGGCTCTTCACTCCCTTTGATCAGCGCGGTGTTGAAAATCCACCTGTTGGGACACATTACTAGGAGGTGTCCCTTTTTCCTACAGGTGGCAGTTTCCTGTTCTTTAACATCATAGCTATTGCTACTTATTCACTAGACTCTATTATAAGTGAAGTAGCTTTAACGAAGAAAAAAAAAACCCTTAAAAACCAAATCTTATTGTTATAGTTAACAGTACCTTTTGATAAAAACCTCTTTCTTTTTCAAGTGGCTCAGAAAAGTTGAATTAAGAATTGAAAAAAAATACAGCGCCCTGGCTGGGTGGCTCCGTTGGTGAGAGCATCGTCCCAGTATGTCAAGGTTGAGGGTTCGATTCCTGGTCAGGGCACATACCAGTGTCAACCAATGAATGGGTGAATGGGTAGAACAATGAACCAATGCTTCTCTCTAAAACCAATAAATAGAAAAAATTTTTTTGAAAGAATTTTAAAATATATTAATTGCAATCTACCTGCAACTCCCAATAAGTCATTCCAGCAGGAAAATTTCATAAAGCTGAGCAAAAGCAACAAATAAATATAAAAAAAATAGCTGTCCAAGGGAGAAATGCGGCTTGGCCGACGGCCCTCAAGGCTGCAGTGACTGACCGCAGCAGCAGATGGCTCTGCTTGTCCAGCTGCCACCGTCGGAAGTGACTGCGTTAGTTTAGAGCTCTCATTTCACCTAAAGGGACAGGTAGATTTTTCGGGGAAGATGACATTTTAACCACATAACACCAAATTAAAAGGAAACAAAATTGGGACTCTTTAAAGATAGAAATCTAGGGCAACACTCCAATTAATTTCCAGGCAGGTTTTTAATTTCTCCTAGTAAGTAGCTGGGCTTTTCATGAAATATAAATCATTCCAGGTGCTTTTTATAGATAGATTTTCTATGAGTTCTTTACTCAATTCTTCAAGATGAGCAGAAAGAATGTGGAAGAAAGATGGTAAGACCTCCATCCATCACCATTTGCGGACAAGTACGAGCAACCAAACACTCCACAGTGAGAAAGAGTATTTTTCTCCGAATCTGAATACAATCTGACATACATTGCCTGAACTTAGTTATTTCTCTCCAGTCACATGCTCACAAATCCTTTGACCCAGGCCCATGACTTGACGTTGGCAAATGGGAAATTGTTCTTTAGGCACAAGTAAAAAACCCAAAACATGCAAGATGCTATCGCGACAAGATGCTTTCAAAAAAAAGGAGGAAGGGACAGCTTACACATAATATTGTAAAAGATGACAGTCCCTGCTGAAAGAGAAACTGATGAATTTTCAGTACTTTTGACATTTGATAAGGCCAGCTAACTTTACCAGTTAACTTGAGATAAATCTACTTATGCAGTACAATCCACTCACAAATACTTCACGGTTTCACAATCAAAATGGCTACAATTTCCCCCAAACCAAAACAGAGTACAGCACAAGTCTTTGGCTCTCCGGTAAGAACAGACAGACAGACAGACGGACGAACAGCAGGCTGCCATTCTGAACCAGACCTTTGTTTGCCTACCAGTAGGGCAAATACCACATTTGTGCATCACTGAGTAATGACACCATTAGAAAAGGCAACTTCACAGAAGTTACTGGCTAAGCGAATTCATTTGAATGCTCTGTTGTGAGGCAGCGAACGGTCACTGTTGCAGATTGGGGAGGGCGGTGGGAGGGTAAACCAAGGGGAATTCGCAAGACAGAAAAGGGCTGGGGAAAAAAAAAAAGAGAGAGAAACACGACTTTGAGGTCCAACCCTGAAGACCGATGGGAAGCCTGATGAAGTTATATATTCAAGTAGCAAATGAGAATCACATCGATTTTGTCTTTCAGGCAAAAGAATACATCCGTGGGAGTGGTGAGGAGAAGGGAAGGGAAATGGAGGAAGAGACTCGGCTATGTTAATGCTGTACCACACCAGTCTGTGTACATTTTGAGCAGCTGACTATTTGCAGCTGGCATTGGAAATAGTGTCTTCTTATTTGAACAATGTTAGTAGAAACCTACACTATAACTTCTGATTACAAAAGTAATAAGGAATAGATCTTTGGTCAGGTTAGCCTCTAAATTAGCCAAGACAGGGAAGCGATGGGACCTACCTTGTAACACTATTACCAGTAAGGTGAAAAGAATTCTTGGAAGTCAGAAATTGAATCTAGATATCTGAGTCCCAGTTCTTCTACACTCTGCCAGAAACCCCTTGAAAAAAGATTAAGTCAAAGTGCTTTTATACTCCGAGCTATGATAAAAGCCTGGTTTTTAATTAAATCGTGAATATGGGGCTTATTATTCCTACCAGAAGACTCTCAGAATAATTCATGTCCATCTTCGAAGTCCAAGTTCTGGCTTTTGAATTCAGTGAAATAGTCATCTCCAGAAGAAATGAACATTTTAATATGTAGAAAGGGTAAACACTGTATTTTCTACCTGACTGGTTTAATCTCTTAACTCTTTCTAAAGGCATACATTTTAAAAATGAAACAAATCAATGCCTTTAGACTTTGACAAAAGAGCAGTTATAGAGTCAAGCAGTTTGGCCACAACAGGCCACTTGCCGCCACGGGCTCATCATCTCCAAAAACGTATCAGAGAGAAAAGGGAAAGGGAAAAAGAACCCCAAACCTTGGGGGCTGTACTGGGTTCCTGAAACTGCTTACGAGCACTAGGCAAGCTGTGAGCACATCCCAGAGGTCAGGCGGGATGACCAGTTTGGGATGGTCCGTAAGCTGCAGGCACAATGGGTCAGGTCGCCATTCCCCGCCTTTCGACACGGCCAGCTTTCCTTGCATGCGTGGGGCGTTAGAGAGGTACAGGTGGAGTTTAGGCTTCACTTTAGGGGGTCTCCCGACCCCCTAAAGGAAAATACCTTACTTGGTGAAAGAAATTAAGTCAGTGGCAAACAGTGGCTTTCCTGGTTTTACTCGGAATGGGACTCCTGTGTAAGTCCATCCCTGCTCCTGCCTAGCGTGGAAAATCAAAACAGTGAGAGTGGGGGAGAGGGTGGGAATGACAGCATTGGAAGGAAACAAGAACAACAGAAATTATTAGGGCTGCTATACGCACGCACATGGAATTTTACTTTCATTCTGAACTTGAACAGAATCAATGCCCATCAGCTTCCTTCCAATACCAGAATCATCTGGAGTCCCAAATGGAACTGGCTGCTTCTAAAAGTCCAGAATCGCCCAACACGTCCAGAGGAGAAGGGAGTAGGGCCGACTCTGCCCGCACAAGGCTGGGGGCTGAGGGCGTGGCCCCCTCCGTGGCACAGAGGGGCGGAGACCCTTGGGACTCAGTCAGACCCCTGCTTCTCTCCTCCCCCCAAACAACACACAACAAGCACTTAAAGAGTAAATATAACAGGGTTTTAAGCAAAATAAAAACAAAAAAGCAAATGCATCGACAAAGCAGGAAAATGCAGATTTCCAAAGAAAAACGCCTCATCTTTATTCAGTGCTTCTACCTCCCAATCAGTCGCTTCATTGCAACAGCTGCGCTCATGCGAAAAAATCCTTAAAACATACCCAATATATATACAGATATAGCTATGTATATGTGTATATATATAATATATATAAATTTTTATTTAAATAAAAAAGAAAGCTCGAATCCCAAGCCAATATGTGTATCAAATCCTTGACCAGCCAGGTCTGCAGGGCATAATCAAATTCAATGTGAAATAGTATATAAATGCGGTGCCTTGACTGGGCAAATTAAATAATCGCTACTCAAAAGAGTGTTCGGTTTGGACTCTCCTACTGGTAGGCAATGGCAGGACTGTCACCCCCCTCCCCCGCCCCCCGGGTGGTTTCGGTGAACAGTACGAAGGACACAGAGCTTAGACTGAGGTGGTGAGGGCCTCAGCAAGAGTTAATTAAAGGTTAAGAAAATAAGAAACAAGAAAAACACAAACTCTTGCTTTTACCCAACCAAAGCAATGCAGGAACTTATTGCATGACCAGTGCTTCCTGTTTTAGTAGTATAACTCGGAAAGGGGACTTGGAAAACCTCAGGCACACACAGGGGTGGGAGGGCAGCCACAACGCATGGTCCCCACCGAGCATGCCGTACAGGGTCCCAGCTCAGCACAGGCGTGCCGTCAGAACATGTGCAGTGCAGCCGGACAACGAAGTTCTTCTTTACTCTTTTCAACATTGTCAGTATCGCAAAGCCAAGTCTCGACATTGACTTCCCGGTACTTACTACCTTCCTGTGCTAATGATTCTGAACAGCAACGACTGATCAGTTCACAAACTATCCTCGCGATCCAGGCAAATCTCTCTGAAAGCCAGGGGTGCCACCACGGAGAGATGCTATTTCAGACTTTTGGGTTTTGAGGGAAAAGCAAAAGCATCCGGTGAAACAATGCGGCTCTGTCCCTCTTAGGCTCAAATCAAGCGTCGATTGTCCTGGTTTTTTAACATTCTATGATTTCAGCCAAAGTTCAGTTTGGAAAAGCACAGACCAACATTCCCAGCCATCGGCTCGACCAAGGTGGTGTGCTAAGCGTGTACTTTCAGTGCTGATCGGATACAGCTCATTTCTAAAGAGTCTCCATCGGAGTCTGACCGATGATCTGAGACCCCGGCTCGGCTGTCCGGTCACATGGAGAGAATAAAAAGGATCCGTACTACAGAAAATGAGGACTCACAGAAGTAATGATCTGACAAGTTAAAAACAACAACGAGAACTACCGCAACACCCCTGAACAATGACGACGATACACGTTGGGGGGGGGGGCCCAGAGAGGGCACGGCCGTGACGGCTTCCCGAGAGCAGCTCTCAGAAAACTCGGTCTGCTGCACATTTTCTAATGACCAGTCTGTCTGTCTGTCTGTCTGTCTGTCAAGCACCACAGACTTCTCAGAAAGGCCGGGGCCTGTTGTCTGGTTTAACTTACGGGTTGTGAGACTGGGAAAGGGTTGCGGGGAAGGAATTATACACTGGGTATGTAATAATACCAAAATACAAGAAAAGCCTACTTCATTAAGATCATACAATTAATCAAACAGAGTGTATATATAATATCTTCTTTTTTTAAAGCCCTGGATCCAAGGCGTCCAAAGTTATTAAAATAAAGTTCATTCACAGAACAAAAACAAATTTAATCTGAATTGCTTGCAGATACTGCTAATTTTCTTTTTCTTTTTCCTTTTTTTAAATTAAAAAATGCACTGGTGTGAGCGATGCGCAGGGCTGGCCAGGAGCAGTGGGGTCTGCGCACATCCCCGGGCGCTCTATGGCGACGGCCTCCCCCTGCCTCTCTCAGAGGGCGGGTGCAGGAGTCGCCTTTCTTCTTGTTCTTCCGGAGAAGCGAGAGTGCGGTTCCTTCCTGCTTCAGGGAACAGGGCTGGGCGCGACCCCTGACCTCTGGGAGTCGCTGTTGTCCCCTCCTCCCTCAGGGTCCTCTGCCAGGTTCAGAGAGCTGGTCTGGTTTGACAGGAGGCTGATATTCTCTTGTGTCAAGGCCGATCCATTCGGTACATCACTGTTCACATTTAAAAAAAAAGGAGTTGGAGATTTTCAAAAAGGAGATAAAAATGATAACTTAGCAGAATAAAATCAACAGGGCCATTCTTTTAGCAGTACGGACACGGTATGAATGGCTCTCAGACTTTCAGGCCAGCCAGCTACCAGTTTTTATAAATAAAGTTTTATTGGAACACGGCCTGCACATTGTTCACACACTGTCCACGGCTGCTTTCACACCGCAATGGCAGAAGTGAGAGTTTTGGCAGAGACTGTAAAACCCATCATTTTAAATGTGTAAATCCTGCCTTTAAGAAAAAGTGCTGGTCCCTTACTAATGTAAGACATTTTTGGAACCAAAACGATGCATAGATTTAAATAGCCAATCCCTAAGCCTAGAAGCAGCATAGTGTCAGCAGTAACTGTTACCTATTATCAGGAGTGTAAGTCAGGACTGTGTATGGAAGAGTCTCAGGTACCTGACACGTGTCGTTCCTCCCCCACAGACGAATCATTGGATGGTATGGGACAGACCAATCTAAACCAGGGGTGTGGAGTAATGGGGGGTGGGTGCGTTCTGAAAGAAGCTCAATGCCCACCCACTTTAAGAAAACTGAAAAGGTGTACATCAAAATGTAAATATTGGTTTCAAATTAATTTAAAACCAGAGGAAGAAAGAAATGTAACTGGAAAATTTCTCTTAGCTCTTAACAGATAATACAATGTTGAATCTGTTCTAAAATAAGTTTCATAAGTCCTAAATTTACGTAAAAATATTCTTTCCTCAATGTATACAGAATAATGATATTTTAAACACCAAATCATATTTCTAAGGGTATTTCTGTCACAACTGGGTAATATATGACTGTGAAAATGTCCCTTTCTTTACCTGAATGTCAATGTAAGGTCCTCAGCTGGAACCTTATTTTGGGGTTCCGGTTGTCCGTTTTCCGCTTGCTTACTTGCACTCAGTTTGCTTTTCATGTCTAGAGAACACTGGTTCTCCTTTGAAAGAGAAGAAAATGAATGCAGTTAGCGTCTATTAATGGTGCTAGAGAAGAGAGACCAAACAGGTAACACAGACTGATGGTCCGGAAATCATTTAGTTTTTGTAAAACGACTGAAGACACAGGCAGACTCACAAGGAGACAGACACAGCAACAGAGTACGGCCCGCTTGCTCACCACCCGAGCTGGACGACGAGGAGGGGATGCTTCAAGTTAATATGGAAAGATCCCACATAAAGGATGGCTCAGAAAAAGCCAAATAGACTGAACTACCTTGTTTTCCCTAAACAGCTTTTGTCATGCAGAGTCCTAAGACAAAGAACACACTGGAACCAAAAGGCATGAGGAGAGGAATGATAAAACAGGATGGAAGCCCGTCTCACTGAGACTTATTCTAAATATTAAGCACTCGTGGGAGCGCTTTGGGGTGATTCTTTGATGGCTCTGGATGATTCCAGAACCCCAGAGCCTGAGCTCGGAGACCCGACTACAGAGCAGCGTCCCCGTCACCTTCCCCCTCTTCTCTTACCACGTCACTTACCAGACTCAGCTCCCGGGTTCTCTTCCCGATTTCCCGTTCCACCTGGTGCAGCTCCAAGCTCAGCTGCTCACTGGAGATCATTCCAGGCCATTTTGGGGGTGCTGGTGGGGGCTGTGACTGGCTTGCCAGGGTGTTCGCCTCCCTCTGCAACAGCAGCCTGTTACTAACAGCCTAGTGCATGAAGCCAAGCACACACACAGCTCAGCGCGCTTGCACCATGCACAGAAGAGCCGGGCCCCACTCCAGGCCATGGCCACAGGCAGCTTATTGCTCAAGTATTTGCAATGAACACAACGCAACTTAGAAGGTACCGTATCTTTCTTTGAGTACCGTTCAAAAAGAAAAACAGGGGACTTGAACTTAGTGAACATTTTAACCTTAGGTATAAGTTGCTCTTAGAAGAGAAATCAACTAGAAATATACACTGTTCCCTTCATTTACTGAATTTCTCTGATACATCCTGTAATTTATTTCAATGAAACCCCGTTAATGGCAATGACCTTTAACCAGAATTAAGTTAAATATGTGGCAAGACTGCAAATGATATTGTTATTCCTTTGGGGCAGAAAATGGGTTTAGAAATTTCAACTAAGACGAAAAGCCATGAGTTAGCAGGAACCCTGACTCGAGTCTGAAGATCAGGGCTGATGCTCCAACTTCTGTGAAACTAATAAACTTCAACCAAAAAGGGGAACAATGTCACCTGCCCACCCTGGCTGTTAGGGACATGGTGAGGACCTGCTAACATGACAGTAACTTATAAACTAAAACAACTTCATTAATGAAGGTGCTATTATTATACAGAGACTGTTTTTTAAAGGCAAAGATCTAAGTTTCTACTTTTTAAAAAATACATAAATAAATGCTGGGAATTACAGGAAGAGAAATTTTCAAAAGTTAAAAAAGTATGAAAAATCAAAAGTCAACTTTAAGCTAAGGCACATGTTGATAACTACCTGTTGGGAAAACTCAGCTCACCTGCCTTTTATTCTCAGGTAATAAAATTCGAAGTTCCCCACTGTGCCAGAACTAAACTCTAAGTACTTACATTCTCTGAAGAATGGACACTTAACCAAACTCTCAAAAAGCAGACCTTACAGCTCTGCATTCACAGTACCCCAAAAGACGCCCCTTTTAGAGTCCCCACGAGCACCCTGCAAAACCCGGAACAGAAACCCGTCTGCAGGCCGCTACCTCCAGTCCGCGCAGCTGGGTCTGCTGGCTGATCTGGTGGTTCAGCTGCTGCAGTTCCAGTCGCAGCTGCTCCCTGTCGGCAGACGGAAGGGGTTTTCCATGGCTGGCCACTTCGGACATGGGTATTCTCTCCCTTTGGTGGGAAAGAAAAACTTTATTAAAAAAAACACGGGCCGGAAACACAAAATGAGGAAAGTGGCAACACTGTCAAGGTCTGCAGGAGCAGAAGGAGCGATTCGTACCTCTCACTGAAGTGTGCCTGGGACGCCGCACTCTGGTGAGGGGCGTACGGGGAGCTGCCCCAGCCGCCGTGGGCTCCGTACGGACTGTAGTCTGCAAGAGAGGGACTCGCTGCATGCAATGCACCCCTGTCCACGGCGCGGTGTCCTGCACGGCCGCGCCCAGGAAGGCACGCACACACTGTGTGTGCAGCTACCTGGAAAGAGCTCCACCAATACGGTGACAGCACACTGATGTCTGGTTCCCCCCCGCAATGAAACCCCAGTCTTCGTAATTTTTCTTTTGACTACATTAAAAAAAAATGGTAATGCATTGTTTTAATAAAAAGCAATGAAGCTATTAAAAAAAGAGGCAATGTTCGCATACAGGCATTTAGTTTTAGTCTGTACCCTCAAATTCCCGGGCGTGTAATTACCTTTCTCCAGGGACAACTCCATGGAGGAATTTGAGGGTGGCGGTCGTGGACGATTATGGACGGCAATGACAGCAAGTGGGTGGTAGGGGTGGTGGGCCCTCCAGAGAAGCTCACCCCTGAGGGTCTTACCTGACACGTTCATAGGTTTTGTGGGAGCTCCCTGAGGTGCCATCGCCTGCAACGGGCCGGCACCCTGATACATTGTTTTGGAGGTTCGAGAGATGGCACCAAACCGCGACACTGTTGGCCGGTCTCCAAATGGGATGAGGTCATCATCACTGGTTTCGGCAGCTCTTCTCTGATGATGATCCAGTCGTTGGTCTCTCACCCCTTTACTCTCCACATTCTGACAAGTCAAACGAGAAATCACCCCACACTTAGATCTCAACTGAGCACAGAGTCACCCCCGCAGAAGAAGGGAGGGGAAAAATGAGATCAGGGCAGTCTGGACAGGAGCATTTAATTACCTTTGTAAGGTTTTATTTCTTTAAAAAATAAAGAAACAATTAAGATGAAATAGTGACATATTTTAAGCCCGAGTATTAGATGTACTGGAGTTTCATTATTCTTTGTTGAAAAACAAAGAGCATGAGCAGAACAGTCCAGTGCACCACAACTCACTCAAGGCTATGTAGCTACAGTTCTGACCCGCACACTCTATTTCACTAGATGCAACTTCGCTGTTTACACTTCAGAGTTGTAAGAGTAATAATTTACTTGGACGAGAAATTCAAGGTCCTGGTTAGTTATGCAAAATAACTTAATCTGAGGTCTAACAGGCTGCTGGGTTAATGGCTACCTGCACAGAAATAGAATAAATGCTCGTTAGAGCATTTATTGTCTAGATAAATATTAAAATATTTTTATTTATATCTGAAAAAAACCAATAGTATAGTGTAAACGTAATTCAATTGTACAGCAGTGGGTCGCCTCTCACTTGCCCCACTACTGGGGACCTGGCCCACAACCCAGGCATGTGCCCCTGCCCAGAATGGAGCCAGCAACCCTTTGGTTCCCTGGTCAGCACCCAATCCACTGAGCCACCCCAGCGAGGGTTAGCCTGAAGCTCTAAAGCAAATCTCCTTTATTTGTGTCTACACTGTAATGGGGAACAGTTTATTTGGTTGACCTTGACCTGTACGAATCACAGCTTAGTTAGCACACATACCATCATTTCCCCACTCCCTGCTGCCACGACATCTTTGGGTTTTGCATCTTTGGTTCCAATGTAGGAGCCGATGGTGTCACATGACCAGGGAGAGTACTGGCTGTAATCATTTCCTTTGTATTTCCCAGCCTTCAAGTCTTCATCCAAAAACTATAGATGAGGGGAGAAAAAAGGAAACAAATAGGAAATGGGTCTATGAGTAAACTACACAGAGAAGCAGAAATTCCATAGGACGTCATGCTGAAACAACACCTGACGGTTATCTGATTTGTCCCCGATTCTCGTAGACTACAAAGATACGTACCAGCCCCCAGTTCTGCTAAATACTCTGCTCAATGTTTCTTTCAATAACATCCCAGAGAAACAAGAACAGGAAAATTATTTTTAATGTTCTGTACGATGATGTAATAACTTTTTTACTGAAATCTCTGTAATAGTAATAACTCCTATCTTGAAAGAATTCTGGTCCTGAGGTTGACTCAATGAAGTGAAAATGAAAAGATGCCTAGTTTTGTCTTCTCAAGACGAGTTCGGAAATTATGTAACGACAAAACAGCCATGCCGGGTCTAACGTGCTCTTATGGAGACCGCGGCACTCACACTCGGGTAGCGTTCTGCGGCTGTCTCGATGCTGGTGTGCGCACCGCCTCCCGTGCATCTCAAGTCCACGGCTCGGGCGCTCTCCCCATGGCGCCTGCAGTCCAGGGCAGGGCCTGGACTTCAACAAGGCTCTCGCCTGACCGCCGACGCCCGGGGCTGCTGGAACTCCTAACCCTGGGCCTGCTACTTCCAAATATCACTCATTTCCAACCACAACGCCTGTTTCCAACGTTCATATCGCTTTGCTTTTTTTGGTTCTACCTCTATTTTTAAAATTTCATATCCTTTCTCATTTCTCCTCCGCTTCCAAACTTTGTGTAGAACAGCTAGCTTTTCAGAGACATACTGAAAAGCTAGCTGTTTAGTGACCTACTAAAGAATGTTTCCCCCCAACACTAATGTATCACGCAGCTGTTAAAAAGAATGAGATAAATTTATATACTGACATACAAAACACATACAAAACCTCAAGATAAATGACTAAATGACACCATTAAAAATAATATGTTAGTTCATGCAGAGAAAAGTTGAAATATCTAATCAATTGACAGTGATGTACAAAATGGGATTTTGGAGGCATTTGTTATACACTTTTAGAATGTACAAAGTTGATACAACTCTATGTATGTTGTTTATAATCAGAACTGAAGTGTAAATACAGCCGACCCATGAATGGCATGGGTTTGAATGGCTCAGACCCACGATACGTGGCTACTGTTCAGTAAACATACAGCTGGCCCTTGTACTCCCCGGCTCTGCAGCTGCGGGTGTGGAGGGCTGACTGTGTGCATCATTCTATGCCATTTCATGTAAGAAACCCAAACGTCCACGGATTTGACACGTGGACATGCGCTGGAACCAACCCCCACAGATACCAAGGGACGACTGCGTAGTAGTCAAGTTTTTAGGGAGTCAAAAGTCACACTTGAATTTCTGACTTCATGGGGGCTGGCACCCCCACCCTGCACGGTGTTCGAGGGGCAACCGCACACAGCGTTTGTGCGGCAGTCACTGGTCATTATTTACCGAGCGCCTGCTCTGGGCCGTGGGCCGTGTGTCCTACTTGCTCTTCGCCGCCTCGCGATGAGCAGGCTTCACTGTGCTCAACTTACAGAAGGGAAACCCAAGCCTCTGGGGTCAGGGAGGCTGAGTAACTTGCAGAAGATCACATGCTGAGTGACACAGCTAAACCTCAAAGGTGTCTGATTCCATAATCGGCTCACTTTTCACAGAGTCATGTCGCTTCCTCTATTTCTTAAAAAACAGCATCGCACAACAAGGTCCTAGGATGTCCCTAACGTACAATTTTTAAAAACACGTGACGTTTATACTTTACAAGTAAAACTATATTAATAGAAGATGCTGTGAGCTTACTAATCAATCTATGTTGCTACGGACAATTCATTTGAAGTGTTTAGATGGGAAAGCTAGATACGTGAACAACTGTTATTCAGAAGATCACATTCACGGACCCAGAAGACTACTGTTTGCTGTATGTGATATGATGCACCTCACTTTCCACTGCCTGTTATTTACAATTTGTCAGACACCACGGTTGTTTAGAACGATAATTCTGCACACAGAGAACGGGAGACATTTTCCTTACATAACATCAACTGCAACGATGTTGAGAAAACCTGGCTGACTTCAAAATATGTATATATATACACACACACACAATAAATGAGAGTGTGTACAATCAACAGACCAAAATAAATATATGAATAGGATCAACAAAGAGCTGCTTGTTTTTTTGAAACGACAAAATGGATGAATCCCTAGCAAGTGGGAGAAAAGTGACCGCTGCTCTCAGAAGTGGAGCAATGAAGAGCACTATAGCTGCTGTGGACATTAAAAAGATAGCAGCACTCGTTCGTGATGGCTATTCGGAGTGTCCTGTAGAAACACAGAGAAGATAACCCCCCAAATCACGGCTTACGGCCCGGCAGTGCTTTAATCAGTCCGTTCTGGCAGCTTTCTTACCAGCGCCCTTTCTTTTCTGCCTCTCACTGCCGTATCAGCCCCTCTCTCCTGTTCCCTCCACTGACTTTACCATCCTGCTACTCTCCTCATTGTTAAATTAATCTTTGGCATATGTCATTTATAAAAATAAAAATAAAACTAAGAAGAGGGGCATTTCATTAACCTGATAAAATTATCTACAAAAAATCCCACAGCAAATATAATGAATTATTAAGAGCTCCATTCACGTTGTTCAAGACTGCCAGTAAGTCAAGAATACGTGCTATCATCCCTTTCGTTCAGCACTATTCTGGAGGGCCAGCTATCACAGGGTAAGGGGAAAGAGACATGAGGACTGAAAGGAAAAAAAGCAGAAAGCCAAACGGACATTATTCACAGAGGATATGACTTGTGTGCATAGGAAACCCAAAGTAGTCCACTAACGAATACTAAGATGAATAAGGAAATTTAGCAAGGCTTCTGAATGTAAGAGCCAGTATCTTCTCTACATTAATAAGAGAAGGATTCTATTTTAAAAATAGCTTTAAAATCAGTTGTCCTGGAATAAGCTTAAGGAAGGATGTGCACAACTGGAAACTATACGACATACGGTACTACTGAGAGAAATTAAACGAGGTTCAAGTACGTGCAGGGAAGACCGTGTCCTTGGAGACTCAGTATTAAAAAGATGTCACTTTGCCCCAAACGGATCTAAAGCAACACTGTTTAACGGAAATGAGACCCCCACACACAATTTAGAAAGCTCTAGTAACCACATTACATAAATAAAAAGAAATATTTTTAAAGTTAATATAGGCAAAGGATTACCATTTTAACATGCAATGCACAGATATATATTAATGGAGTATTTTCCTTTCGGGGGTGCTGCATCTTCAGACTCAGTATATTTATGCTTACAGCACATGTAACTTGTAACTTGAAGCACTCGTTAGCCGCGTGTGACCAGTGGCTCCATACTGAGCAGCACAGACCCAGAGTCGGCGTAACCCTAACAGAAGCTGCAGCAAGCAGGTAGCCCTGGCGGGTGGCTCAGCTGATTGGAGCACTGTCCCGCACACCAGACCGTCTGGGTTCGATCCCTGGTCAGGGTGCATACCCAGGCTGTGCGTTCAATCCCTAGTCAGGGCGCATGCAGGAGGCAACCCACTGATGATGTTTCTCTGCCTCTCTCCCCCTTTCTCTCTAAAATTAATAAACAGCCTCAGGTGAGGGCTAAAAAATAACTGAAGCAGACTTTTTGTGGACAACAAAATGACGACTCTGAAATGTGTCAGCAGAGGTACCCGTGAAGAAGGGCAGCACCGAGGAACAAGTATGACTCTGTACCAGGACATATTGCAGCACTGCACCCAGACAACGCGGTGTCGGTGTGGGGACATGGGGCAGGCGGTGAAGCGGATGTGAGTCCTGAGGTGCGCACAGTCACCTGGCCGAGACAAAGGTGGCCTGATTATGATGAAGGTGACTGCAGGGGACTGAGAAAAGAGGTCTTTTCACTAAATGGTGCTGAGTCAGTGAGACATCTTTTGGGAGGGAAATGGACCCCCACTCCTAACACACTGGAATAAAAAAATCGATTCTGGATAGACTGTAGAGTAAACCTTTTAGAAAAAAACAGGAAGATATTTCCATAACCTTAAGACCAGGCAAAGACCACTTCAACAGGACATGGCAAACCACCGGGAGGGGAGAAGGGGACATGGGGACTGGGACGGAAACCCTGTGCTTACCTCCTCCGTGTGGAAGGGCGGAGGCAGTGTTGGCGAGGGCGCGAAAGGCGGCGGGGAGATAACCTTCCTTTCCTCCAGCTGGGCCATTATTTCCTTTCGCCTTCGATGCAGCTCGTCTAGACTGGGATGCGGCTGTGGGGGCGGAAGCCGGCTATAGGGCGTCTCCTGCAAATGCAAACATTAGTAAGAACCGAAAAGAACTTCAGAACACATTCATTCATTCAGCACATGTGTTAAATAAGCAGCAGCTTGTAGAGTCATCTTAACATTTGGAAATACCAAGAATCAGAGCAAAACGAGCTCCCCACTCCCCCAAATTCCCAGGATTTACCCAAGAGCTAAATTTAAGTTGTTCTTCTAGGTCAGAGACCATAATTTCCAAATCAACCCAGAATTGTTAATAAAGCCACCTAAACTTCAAAAACTAAGAAGGATTATCAGTGAGAGTAGGACAGAAATTTTCCCCTTTAATAGTTTAATTTAAAAAACAAAACAAAACAGCCCTGGCAGGTGTGGCTCAGTGGATTGAGGGCCGGCCTGTGAATTGAAAGGCTGCTGGTTCAACTCCCAGTCAGGGCGCATGCCTGGTTGCAGGCCAGGTCCCCAGTTGGGGGCGTGTGAGAGGCAACCTACTGATGTATCTCTCACATGTTTCTCTCCCTCTTTTTCTCACTCCCTCCCCTCTCTCTAAAAGTAGATAAAATCTTAAAAAAAAAAAAAAATAACCCAAAACAAAGAAATAAGCCCTGGTCAGGCAGCTCAGTTGGTTAGAGCATCATCTCATGCACCAAAAGTCTGTGGGTTCAATTCCTGGTCAGGGCACACACTTGGCTGCGGGTGTGATCCCGGCTGGGGCGTGTGCTAGAATAGAAGCAGCTGATCTGTTTTTCTCTCACATGGACATTTCTCTTTCTGCAGCCCCTCCCCCTTCTTCTCTCTCTGAAAACCAATATATGTGTCCTTGGGTGAGGATTAAAAAAAACACCCTGCCCGAATGATGACAAGATGAAAAACAAAGGCACGCTTTCCCACTAGAAAAAAGTCACTGTGAGCAACAATACACTACATCTGTGTGGCAGTAGGAACAAAGGTAGCGTACCCTGATGTACGAAGGTCTGATCTGCGCTGGATGAGGGGCCACCGGGTAGTAACCCTCCACCTGCTGGTATCTTTCTCTGGATTCTGGTACGTAGGATGGCACTGCTGGAGGTGGAATCTCAATAGAACTCTCGCGGAAAAGCTCCTCCCTGGGATATGACTGAGCAGGGCACACTCGGCGGCCGTCACAGTGCGGCGGGTACACGGGTGGGTACTGGTGCGGCTGTGCGCCGTACGGAGGGTTTATGACGCGGTCTTGGAGGTAGGGTGGGTAATGATCCAGGTAGGGAGGCGCGGGCTCAGGAGCAGACGGTGCAGGTCGCACGAAGCGGGACACGCATGGCGGGGCAGTGTAGTACATGCCTGTGTGTTACAGAAAAGCCACAGGGGCCATCCAGTTGTCTACATGAGACTGTCTATGAAAGTGTCTGAACACGAGAGAACCAACAACCCACTGATTTCTTTACATGTTTCCCCTCTGCTTACTTACTCAGGTTAGATTTATGAAAAACAACATGTAAAAACTGTTCTTAAGAGTTACTGAAAAAACTACTCTGGTTTATAATCTGCAATCGTAGACTGGCTCTCTCAATTGTTTGACTGTCTTTCGGGTATGCCTCAGCACAATGCAAACACTGCAAAGCAAAACACTGCATTTCCCTGAACTTCAGGCTGCACAAATCACTCACTTGCATGAGTTCTGAATATGCAACTGCGCAGAGAGACCCAGTGCAGATCTAGCAGCTAACGTGTTGCTCCAGAGCTGTGGCAGGAACGCCCCAATTTCCAGATTTCTGCCGCACGTGACATGGTCCTGGAGCTAGCAGGTAAGACACAAGTTTCCCATTTCTGCGGCTTCTTCACTGTAACAGGTTCTTTTAGCAGCTGGTGCTGGGAAGTGTTGCTGAAGGTGCAGCTTAAGCCTGCTTTACCTGCACCTTCCACTGACTTTATAAATACCCGAACTTCCTGCATTAAACCTCTTTCTGCTAAACATTGAACCCTAACTGGTGCACTGCATTTAAAGTCGCTTCAACAAAATAATAGCCTGATACTGTTTCTGACACAGAGATCCAACACTTCAGTTTAAAAGTTGGGTGTTTGCCCTGGCCAGTGTGGCTCAGTTGGTTGGAGCACATCCCATAAACCAAAAGGTCGTGGGTTTGATTCAGTCAGGGCACATGCCAAGGCTGCAGGTTCAGACCCTGGTTAGGGAGCACAGAGGAAGCAATCGATCAATGTTTCTCTCCCACACTGATGTTTCTCTCCCTCCCTCTCTCTCCTCCTCCCTTCCCCTCTAAAATCAAATAAGCACACCCTCGGGTGGGGATAAAAAACCTGGGTGTTTATTTTTTTCACACACTGTATACATGAAACATCAGTCGTCTACTGTCCTTCACTCTCCACACCCAGTATTATCATTAAAACTGGCTAACGTTTCAAACTTACCCCAAATCCCCCCCTTCTTCCCTCCACACCCACACCTGCGTCAGCAACAGTCCCCTACTCCTACGGACTCTAGTCTCATTCTTTCAAGCCACTAGTAAATCTCCCTTTCTAGTCCCCAAACCTCTATGTAGGGCATTCTTCCATAAAGTCTCTGATTTCCCAAGCTCCCCATGAGCCCCCACGGCCTGCAGTCGTTGCTACCACACGGATACTAAGTAAGCAACACAACCGAACACCTACTTTTTAACGCACATACAGTGTGTATAGGCACACTTGGCTTGCTCGCATTTTGTTAACTGCCTTTCACAATAACTATTTTCAAAAAACTGAAGATCTGTGGCAACCCTTGGGAGCGAGTCTACAGGTGATAGTTTCCCAACACGCCCAGTCAACAGTTCGCGTTTTTTCCAATGAAGTATTTTTAATGAAGGCACGTGTAGTGTTTTTTGGACACAATGCTGCTGCACACATGAACGGACAATAGTACAGTGTAAATATCACTTTTATATACACTGGGAAGCCTGAAATTCGTGTGACTCACTTTACAGTGGTCTGAAACCAAACCCAAACTATCTCCGAGGTGCCTACACATTTACATACACTCGCCCGTCGAGTTTTCTCTTTACTAATACTGATTCCACGCTATAAACTCTGTATGCTGCATTTTTCATATATATTATAGGACCCAGAAAACTATTAAGTGATAATTGAAAAGAAGAGAAATATACTGTGCTCACTTAATCTATACCCACTGTAGTATTAAAAATATTTTTCATGCTTGAATAAAATTTTGGTCAGGAAAATATATATTGCCTTAGCTAATTTCCACTGTCTTATGTGGACAACTTGTTATTTCCGTAAATATATGAATATATTTAATATACAACAGCTTTATAGCTTTGCTACTTCATTTATTTTATACTATTTAGTTGATCACAAGATCTGCTTTTTCCAAACTATTAAAAAGCACACTACCTTCAGGAGGCTACTGCAAATATGACCACTCCTACCTGGACTCATTCCTAAGAACAGCGAGAGCAGTAAAGGAAAGGTCATTACCCTGCTGATACGGTGCGGGGTCAAAGGGCGGCGCCGCTCCCCGAGGATCCTGATAGTAGACGTCTGCCTGCTGCGCTGGGTACAACTGAGAGCCCCGTGGCACCATCTGAAGTGGTTTGGTGACAGGCATGGGAGGCAGGTCTGTTGGTCCCCTTGGAGGTACAGGATGTGGGTTCACAGCTAGGGCAGGAATGCTCTTGGGGACGGATTCTAGCCTACAGAAATAAAATTCTGCAAGTCAAACTCAAGGTCTTGAATTGCATGGACTGTTAAATGTAAAGAAATAAATTGCCACAATTTGAGAAACGACTTTCTTCCAATAGTCATTCCTTCTACAAAATTTACAAATTTTCATCGTATTCTGTCTATGCTAATTTTCTTACAAAATCAATAACCCAAAAAAATAGGAAAAAAAAAATGAGAGGGCCAAAAATGAATTAAAAAACACTGATTATTCTTCCTTCCCTCTGCTTTACATTTATAAAGAAGAAACTTTAGCCCTGGCTGGTGTGGCTCAGTGGTTTGAGCGCTGGCCTGTGAACCAAAGAGTCACTGGTTCAATTCCCAGTCAGGGCACATGCCTGGGTTATGGCCCAGGTCCCTGGTTGAGGGCATGCGAGAAGTAACCACGTATTGATGTTTCTCTCCCTCTCTTTCTCACCCCCTTCCCCCCGCTCTAAAAATAAATAAATAAGTATATATATATATTTTAAAAACTTTAAAATAAATGTTAGGAAAACGGCATACAGGTCAGGAGGGGACCCCGGGGCGCTGCTGCTCAGATGGTCCATCTTTCCTGGTTTCAGACTGGAGTCGTAGCTGGGGTCCGTCCCGCGTGGAATCAGCTGCGTGACCGTGCTCCCTGCTGACACAATTCCATTGGGCAGAGCAGGGGGCTTCCTGCCGGGCAGATCCACGGCGCCTTCGTCTGGGAGGACAGCTGCCGCGGGCAGGCCCACCTCGTTCAGCTGACCCAGAGAGGCGCTCAGGGGTCTTCTGGGAACGAGGCGTTTGTTCATCTTACGGAATCTGTGTGAAAAGCAAAGGCACACAGCACAACCAAGATTACAAAAGCAAAACCAACAACACAAATGTCCTCAAGAAGCAGATACAAAAGCTAAACATTCCAAGTACATTATTTTCTAGAAATTCTTTGCCAACACTGACTTTAGCTATCGATCTGAGCATGTGTGTGCATGTGCATTCATGTATATTGTGTATACATTCTATAAAATCTTAAGCAAGACACACTAAGTATAAAATTCCTCATAATATTTGTAATGTTATAAATCATGCTAACTAATATTTGTATGAATATAACTAAGTTATTTTCACTGAAATTTCTCTTTCTAAAACTTATGGGAGGAAGGGGTAGAAAAATCTTTAGAAGACAGTTTTCTGCAAGATTTTAGGTTCCCCTCAAATGCCTTGGGATACTGTGAGCCTATATTATAAATTAAGAGTAAAACAAAAAGCCAATGTGCACTGAGAAAAATTTACTATTTGTTCCATTAACATATTTAAATAATCAAGGACTGTAATTTGTACCAGATCTGATTCAGAAATGCTGATGTTATGTGTACCTGCATAAAGCTGAAATTCTAAAGTGGGTGAAGGAAACGGTGGAGCATATGCCTAAACCTGAACACGTGCTCTGGTAGACAAGGTGTGTAAGTGCCAAATCTGACCACAGGAAAACGCGAAGCCCTCAGACACGGCATCCTTGCTCCTCGACAATGAAAGCAAATCTACTTACAACTACCTAGTGCATTTTAAAAAATTCCAAACACAAACCTCCCAAAAGAGTAATGCTATTTTTTCAAATATATTCCGTATATGACAAATTTCTGGGGGAAACCACGGTAAACAGTTTGGTGTGTAATCATATTTTCCCTCCATACACTTAATATTCACATGTACATAAGATTATTGTTTTCAGAAATAGGGCCATATACGACTGCTTAGTAACTTCTTCCCCTCCAGTCCGTGATCTTGGCTATTCCTTCATGTCAGTACATTGTAAATTAATTATTCCTAGTTTTCTGCTACTATAACAATGCAGTAACAGATAATCACATACATGTATTTGCACCCTGTGTGAGTACCTGGAAGCAGAATCGCTAAGTCTCACGTATGCATATTAGAAACTGTTTTAATGCTCCAAAACAAGTAATTACCACCCCTACTGACAGCGTCTTTTATTTCAGCCTCTCATCAAACACTGGGTAGTGTCGCTCTTTGTTAACTATTAGTTCAAGAATACCAACTTTTGTTGTTATTTGCATTCTTTAGCAATGAGAGAAGGTGAACACAGCTTCACATGTTTCCTGGTGATCAGTATCCTACTGTGTTTCGCTCATTCATGTTCATGTTCCATCCACCTACTGGCCTTTCTTTCTTACTGATTTTTAAGAGCTCATTCTATGTTAGGGATATCAGCTTTTATATATTACTTCCCCAATAATCTTTTTTCTTTTAATTGTGGTGCTTAGGCCATATCTTAGTTTTTAATTTTTATGTAATCAAACTTATCAATCTTCTCCTTTATGGATGTTCGGCTGTCATTCTTCAAAAACCCTTTCCTGTTGTAAAATTATGTAACAACAAAAGTCTCTAACTATTCTATGGTTTCCGTCTTAAATATTTAAATTTCTTATACATTTATAATTCGTTCTGGTGTAAAGGTAAGAATCCAGCTATTATACTTCAAATGAATAGCAGTTACTCCATCCATTTTTCTCTTATTGGTGTGAAATGCCACCTTCAACACGTATGGCAAGTCCCTGCATGTATCTGGGACTCGCTCTAGATTTTCTATTATATTTCATTAATCTATGCTAATAGTATAGCCTGTATACATTTTAGCTCATAATACAGACTAATAGTTATTAATCTAGTTCTTAATCTAGTTTCTTTTTTCAGAATGTTCTTGGCTATTTGCATAATCTTCCAATAAATGATTATTAGGTCCTAAAAATCATCATGTGAAAATTCTATTTGGGATTTCAATGAATTTACTGTTTCAGAGAAAACAAAACCTTTATAATGCTCAGTCTTATCTAAAAACACAGTATTCTTCTTTTATCCAATTCTTTCCTTATGTTGCCAGCTAGTCTACTAATTCAATTCATACAGGTCCTGAATACATCTTCCAGTTTATAATTTCATATTTATCTTTTGTTGCTGTTAATGCAAAAGGAATCTTTAATTTCACTTTACTGGTTTATATGACAGCAATTCATCAAAACATTTTTTTATTTGCAGTCTTACTAAAGCCTCCTTATGTTTTTGTTAAAGATTTCACTTATTTATTTTTTTAGAGAAAGGGGAAGGGAGGGAGAAAGAAAGGGAGAGAAACATCAATGTGAGAGAGAAACACTGACTGGTCGCCTCTCACACACACCCTGAATGGGGACTGAAGCCACAACCCAGGCATGTGCCCTGAATGAGAATCGATGCCCAACCAACTGAGCCATGCTGGTCAGTGCAAATTCTCATTTCTTTAGCTTCCAGTGCTTTTCTTAAATTGCTCCATGTAATAATTTTAAGACTGTTTTACTCTCTTGTTCACATACATTTGCTACTACTTCTAGAATATTAAATAATTGTTTTACTAGCACGAAGTTTGCTTCACTCTTAAATGAGACTGAAGCTTTTACTAATTAAGCATGATGTCATCATGCTGGCTTATAAGATACAATGTTGAGGAAATGCCTATGATATTTTTGTTCTAATAAGGGATTTTGATCTATCATGGACACTGGATTTTATTCAAATGCCTTTTGGCACCTTTGAACATGATCACAAAGTATTTCTTCTGTAATTTACAGTAACTAATATTGTGCTACCTTTGCAGTAAGCCATGGCGTCTACTTTAATGTATTATTGAATTTCAAGTTTAATATTTGGGATTTAAAAAATGTTAATACGTGAGATAAATTTGTAATTTAATTATACTATTTGTCAAACTTAGTATCACTAATTTGCTTTAAAATTTTACAAGTTTTTCTTTCTTTCTACTATGTGCTGGGAAACTTAACATCATTGAAATGATATCTGTGAAACTCAACCTGGAAATTAAACAATTTCTTTAATAGAGCCAAGAGGCCATTTTTTCCACTGCTCATACCTTACTCAATTAGTTAAAATCAGTCAGTGAACACTGATGAAAATTCTCAGAATTTTCATCTCTATTTTGGTAGTGAGAATGACTCAATTCTAGATTTAATTAACCAGAAATAGCTTCCTATTTTTAGGCACGATGAAATGAAAGCTGAAAAGACTGCTTCAATTTTCTTTTTAAAAATTCCGTCTCATCTATTACTTTCTAAACATTTCCTGTTCATTGAAGAGAATACACCTACTCTTCTTGTACTTCTCCACGGCAGCAAGTTACTCCACTTAAAAATTCTACCTTCTCCTATTAGAAGGCCGAGCTCAATGACTTTTTACACTTACTTTTCCAGTTCCTCCTGGGAGTGTGCAAATGTACAGCTGGCCCCACGAGGGCATCCTCCTCTCTGCTTCATATCTCGGCACATGTATGTTTTGTATTTGCTATGCTGTGGAGGCTAAGTCCAAAATTAAAACATTAGACATTTACAAAAAGATGGAAAATTTCACTGCCATTTTAAGGATTTGATAATCTAGATGAACAATTCAGACTGACTGCTTCATACATTTATCTAGATTGCCCAGAGCAAAAGCGCTGGAAAGTCGTGCTGGCTTGTTTCAGAAGTCCCAGAATAAGTATATTAAAGATAATGTAGTCCCCTGGTATGTTCTCAAACACATACCAAGAGAAGGAGGGAGGTCAGGGAAGGAGAGGGATGGAGGTAGAGGTAGGTAGGCAGGCAGGTAGATGGATAGTAGATACATACTGGTGGTTCACTCATTCTTGCATTCTAGTATGTGCCCTGAGGATCGAACTCACAATCTTAGTGTTTCGGGATGATACTCTAACCGACTGAGCTACCTGGCCAGGGCTCACATAAATTTTTGATTAAATCTCATGAGGGCTCAATGATATTCTTTCCAGGTTTTATAATGAACAAACCACTGAAGTTTAGGACTTTTTAAATGTTTAAACTGTCTTCTAATACTTGTTTTGAACAATGTTTAGTATAGTTTACTTATAGTTCTGTTTCTTTTCTTTAAAAAGATTTTATTTTATTTTTAGAGAGAAGACAAGGGAGGGAGAAAGAGGAGGAGAGAAACATCAAGCGGTTGCCCCCAGCTGGGGGGAACCTGGCCTGCAACCCAGGCGCGTGCCCCGACTGGGAATCGAACCTTTTGGTTCACAGTTCAGCGCTCGGTCTGCTGATCCACACCAGCCAGGGCCATAATTGTGTTTCTTTATAACACACCACAAATCCACAACATGCCCTATAACCGAAAAATACTCTGTAACCAAGAATTGACTTGCAGGCTGTATCAAGGACTTAACGTATCTCCCAAGGTACAAATGACTCATTATTTACCACTCAGTGATAAGGCAGGACAGTGGATTTGGGGGTTAATGAGTTATCAAACACAACACTAAGTGAAAGAAAAATTAATGCACTTTTATCACTTATTGGCAGCATTTAAAGGTTGATCTTACTAATTTTGTCACATTCTTCAAAATGTCTCATGGAACAGGGAGTTAAAAAATAGGTTTTTGTTTCATTTATTTCTGAATCAAAAAATAAAGCTCTGATTTGTGCTTAGATTGATTAGAATAATTATATCCATATCATTCTACTTAAGACAGTTTTAATATTTCTTGGCTCCCAAAGAAGATTAAGAATAGCAAATAATCTATTGTTGATATTTACCTGAGACAGATAAATTAATAACAAAGTTATAATTTCTCAAGTTTACTGCTGCAAAATTAAAGAGCTAGTAAAGCTAATATAAATCCTGAGTGTGAAATAAAATTTTGGGGAGTAAAGTTTAAAAAGTCTAGTTACATGATGTGTTATACTATACCACTATATATTTCATTTAAAAAAATTCGAGAAAATTTGGCCCACTGGCGTAACAAACACTATGAATGAAAAGTGTTAAAATACTAATGTAGAAAAAGAATTGACAAACGTGAACGGTACTGGAGAGACGTAGCATTAGCAGGACAAAGCGACATGTACTGTCAAACAGAGACGTTACAGTAACCAAAGAGAATAATGTGATTTAAATGGAATAAGCTTTAGCACAGAACCAAATGCTGCTACATCCAGTGAGAAAAGTGACTGCAGCCCAACATTAGGCCAACAAGAATTATTTCATTTCAATGTTGTCACATAAGATCAGCAGACTAATCTCGTAACTGGCGGCTGACCACGCCTCCCCAACGTGTTGCCTGTACAGTCCGAGTCTCAGGAAGCGCGTGTCGCCTTGCTGGCCGCGTGTGCCTGCGAGGACGCCCGCGGCGACTCGCTTCTGCGCTCCCCAGCCCTCCCGTACCTGCTGCTGGTCGGCCCCCTTCTTGCTGTGGTTCTGGATGTAATCCACCAGGCCGTGCACCACTGTGCGCACGGCCACCAGCCCGTTTTCCAGCTGCTCCCAAGTCGGAGGCGGAGCATCTGCACGACAAACACACACGCATTTTTAAAACATTACTCACTGTTTCTTTGGTCAAAATTACACTAACGAAGGAGCTGTGTCAGCACTTCCGTGCAATCCAGTTAAGCTTCAGGTACCTAAACGTCACGGTAAAGAAACAGACACATTCTTCTAAACCCAGGGTTGCAGGCTGAACCGGCTGTAGGGACAGGGAAGGTAACGTGAAGCCATTAAGTAGACCACACCAGTAATGGCAACTGTCCTTGGACCCTTAGTGTCGGAAATGACAGCAGAAAGAGAGGGACTGCGCTGAACCACAGAGTGCGTCTCACATCTAAGGTCATGGTTCCCGTTAGACGTCAGCCAACAGGCGTCACGTGCAGACGCGAGGCTGGACTGCCAGTACACCACAGTTTCCCAGGGAAAGCTGACATCTGAGATTTCCATGTAAAATTATCCAGTCTTCAAGTGTGGGTAACCTAAAACTTTAGGGTTTAGAATACTGTGCAGGCCAACATCGGTGCACCAAACAAAACTTACCTGTGGACTGCCCACAGTAAACCAATCTGTAAAACGTGCATTTTGAAATTCTGTATACATCAAGTATTGATAAACAGAAATTTTAAAAGTTTCATAGAAGAGCTAATATATAAAGCAACTCTGCTACCCATCTTCTTCATTTATTACATTATTTTGAAGGTCGGCATCAGATTTTATAAAGGAAAAATTAACCCTGGGGCTAAATATGATGTTTCTATTTATTTAATTAATTAATTATGAGCGAGAGAGACAGACAGACAGGCAGGCAGAGACATCAACTTGTTGTTCCACTCACTTCCGCATTTGCTGGTTGATTTCTGTGTGAGCCCTGACTAAGGAGTAAACCCCGCAACCTTGGCCTGATGGGAAAATGCTCTAACCAACCGAGCAACCCAGCCAGAGCTGAAACGTTCTTTAAAGAAATATAAAATGATGTGAGAACACAGATGCAGAGATGGTGTCCGATGGAGACATTCCGAGAGATCCAGGTGATGACATTTGAACTAGGCTTTGAAGGACACATGGAATTTTAACAACAAACAAAGATGAGGAGGCAGAGAAGGTAAAAGGAACAGCCACACACAAAAACATTTTTTGGAACACCTAATTCCCAGGGATTGCTCTAATTGCTGGGGAAGCAGTAGCAATCAAAACAAACATCCTTGTTACATTCAAGGAGAGGGGCCAGGTAGCAGGCAAGATAAACAGTCCAAACACAAAATGTTTAGATGATCGTGAGTCGAATAAAGCGAGCAAAGATGGGGAGTGAGAGAGGTGTGTGGAACCCGGACTCTGGACCGGGCAGACTGGGAAGGCCTCCTGAGAAGGTTGCACCAGATCAAGGACCTGAAAGAAGGGTCTGAATGCGCCCCGGAAACAGACTGGGAGAAAAGCGTTCCAGGAAGAGAGAACGCAAAGCCCTGTCCGGGAAGTGGCCTGGCCCGTCCATGTGGGTAAAACCAGAGGAGCTGCTGGGATGGAGAAGAGTGGGAGACGAGGTGGGAGAGAGGCAAAGGAAGGCCACATCCAGGGAGGCCCTGCAGGTTGTGGAGGAAATTGTGGCTTTTACTGAGTAAAGCCCTGAAGAATTTTTGAGCAGAGGGGTAACAGGATCACCTTGGCACCTATGCTCAAACGGACAGACAGGAGGAGGCTATTCTCCAGTCCGTGGAGAGAGCGAAGGGCGGCAGCAGTGAAAGTGACAAGCAGGCGGATTCCGAATGCACCGAGCCTCCAGGCTACGCTGACGCTGACGGAGCAGCAGGTTTCCCCGGGAGACAAAGACGGGCCCAGCATGGTGCAGCCACAGTGTTGCGCTCAGGACACGGAAAGCCAGGGCTGTCGCTGCCCAGAATGGGGGTGGGGCGGAGGCTGGGAACTCACTTTCCAACTGACTCAGTGGGAAATTCTTATCTGATATTCAAGGTTCGGGCTGGAATGTTGGCTACTGAGCAGGCAGGTGGAGATACAAAATAATTCTGGAAGAAGGTCTGGCCTGGATATACTGTTTCACAGATTCTACTGCCATCAATTGTAACACACACATACCATTATTTTAAGTGCTAAAAAATGTTGTTAAAGATTACTAAATTACCACATTCCATTTCTTGTACAAATGCATCCTAATTTCAGAAATGCTAAGATCTAAATGAAACTGTGGGCTTCAATACTAATGAGATACAATAAATTCATCAGTTATATACATAATATTTAAAGCCAGAAGACTTTAAATACATTTAAATAATATTTAAGGCCATGAGACTTTAAATAATGATTACATAACATTTAAAGCATATTCTAAGGAATAAGAATAAATAGAAAACAGAAGAGATACAAGGATTAACTGTGGAAGCACTCCAAAAGTTAGATGCTAGGGGCAAAACGATGGGGAAGACGAGGAAGCAGCAAAGGCGGCTGAAGAGGAGGACGGAACAAAGAAAGAAGGAAGCCAGGAGCGAGCGGTGGCCTGGAAGCCAAGTGAAAAAAGTTGCAGAATAAACGACAGTGGTACATGCTGCTAATGAGCCAAGTACAGTAAGTACCGAGAGTTGATGTTTGGAGTTAGCTACACGGAAGTTGCTTGTCACCTTGAAAAAGGCAGATGGGATTAAGTGGTAAAGATAAATTCCTGGTTGCAGTAAGTTCAAGGGCTATAAAAAAGGAGAGAAGCAGAGTGGTGGGCAAAGGGCAAGCAGTGTGAGAGGTGTGTTACAATGAGAAGAATAAGAGTATGTTTGCATGTGGGCAGAACTGGCGATAAGAAACAGAGACGGGGAAGGACAGCCCTGACAAGATGACACTGGCACGTGAGGGAGGGTGGCCTCGGCTGCGGCACAGTCCATCCGCCCTCACACCAGGAGCACAGAGCCAACCGTGAAGACGCGAGCTGGTGGGTGACAGGCGGCAAGACTGTGAAGTGCTCTTCTCGTTGCTCAGAGTGATCAGAACACAAAAGCGGGGAAATCACATGTTCTAGGAATAGCTCTGACTGGTTTGGTTAAACAGTTTTGGTGGTAAGTCCACAAAGGGAGGCTGGTAAAAAATTAGAGTGCTGAGGGCCACATTCAGGAGTTCTAACCTCCATTCGATGAGCACGGGGGTGTCACTGAAAGTGCATGAGTGTGGAAGTGAGATCAGTGAGCGCAGTGAGGGCACCGAGTCTCTCGGGAAAAGCACTGAAGCCCTCACTGAGGCAGTGCTGACAGACAGGGACAAAGGGACCCTGGGGAGCAGAACAGACAGATCCTGTTATCTGGAATGGTATGTGGAGCAAGGGAAAGGAAAAGATAGAAAGTAATGAGGGACTCGGGTTTTGTGGCTCACATACCTGGAGGATGAGGTCATGTACCGGGAGAGGGCACAGGAAGCAGAGCAGGCATCCAGGGAGGGTGAAATGAGATGATGGTGCATCTCAGAAAGCATTCGGGACAGTGGGTCTGGAGTGACGAAGACAGAACAGTGACAGAGATATCTGGGAGTCCGTGGTCTACAGAGATACCACCCGATGCTGGGAATGAATGGCTGTCATCCACAGAGCAGGGAGACAACAAAATCCCAGGACACAGCCATCCTACTCCTCTGGGCAGGAGAGGAAAGAACGGTCAAAGTAAGACAGAAGCAGCATTTAGACGGATAAGAAGATAACGGAAAGACTCCGGATATAAGCTATACGCTTTTACAAAAGTAAAAAGTATCGAGGAAACAGTCAACAACATTACCAAATGCTGGGGACACATCAGGTAATGTAAGGACTGAGAGAAGCTTTTGGAACAAAAAATTGGAAATTTTAAGAGAGTAAATGTTAAGAGAGTTTTAGTTCAGCCCTGGCTGGTATGGCTCAGTGGATTGAGAGCTCACCTGTGAACCAAAGGGTCGCTGGTTTGATTCCCAGCCTGGGTTGTGGGCCAGGTCCCTGGTGGTGGTGCTGGGGGTAGTACGTGAGAGGCAACCACACATCGATGTTTCTCTCCCTCTCTTTCTCCCTCCCTTCCCCTCTCTCTAAAAATAAATGAATAAATAATCTGTAAAAAGAGAGTTTTAGTTCAGTAGTGGGAATATACACAGGAACTGCGATATACAAGCCCACATGTCTCAGAGGAAGCACGAGGTGAACAACAAAGGCTGGGTGATTCTCAGGTCAGGAAGAAGGAATGGGAAAGGGGTTGAAAACAGGACCCCAAAAAAAAGGGACCAAAAATGCAACTAATGACACATGATCTAGAAAGAAGGAGAAAACTCGAGTTTTGTCACGAGATGAGAATGGTAAGATACAGCATAACTTTACAGTGAGAAAGGAAATGTAAAGGATTCCAGAGAGCACCTATGAACAGCACAGTAAAAGTGTTCAGTAACTATGAGTTGAAGTAATAACAGATGAAGAAGACTGGAGCCAGAAACTTAAAATACTGCAGAAAAACCCTCAAATAACCATTCTGGGAAATTCTAGAAGAAGGCAACAAGAAATGATTTTAAAAACCATGGACAGCACTGGGGCACACAGAACACACAGTCCAAGAATTTTCCCTGGGTTTACCTGGACTAGGGTCAATGTTTGCCAATAGCTCCAAATGGGGTCTCAGCCGGTTCAAGTTTGCTGGGTCTCCCGTCCGCTGGAGAGCGATGGTTAGTTCCTGAACACTTTGTGCAAAAGAGGCTGGAGTCTGCAACTTAAAAAAGAAAAACATTAACTTCCCCAGAGGCCAGATAATCCCTTTAAAATAAGATTATTTACAATACTCACAATCATTTTTGCAATTTATTAAATTTAATTTTGATCCTCCGCACATGCCACACTTTGGCCAGACTGGATTACCTGCTGCTACCTGAGCACACAGAACGCAAACGTGGGGAAATCACGTGTTCTAGGAATAGCCCTGCACTTCTCTGCGTCTACAGAGCTTGGCCCATCCCCTCTGCTGCCAGTCCTCACAGGGGAGAACTCTCTCGGCTCTCAGCTGGGAAGTACTCTTCCCATTTTATGTTCTCACAAGTCTGGGTCCTGGGATCCTTCCAAATGACTGAAACTTGGAAATACAGTCTAGAGATCATGCTATACAAAGGCAGAAACAAGGAAACTGAACTCAGCTGGAGTTCGAGTTCTCTTATAGACCAAAGATCATGACCCTGGCTATAACCTTTACAGACTCAGCCTGAAGTGCGAGTGTTGTACGAGCTAAATAATTTCCAAAGTCCACTGTAACTCCAAAAAATCCTAATTCAGTTTGGGATTCTTGGAATCCACCAGGTTGTATATTTTCCTAAGGCTTTAATGCATTAACTTCCTTATGTTGCCCATATATGACCTTCAACAGGAAAAAAGTTGATTATGTGATAATAACCTAGGGTTTATACTTGGAAAAATTAACTGTTCATTAACACCGATGAGAGTATTTCCCTTGCAAAATGTCACTCTCTAAAAGATAATTCTTCTTTAAAAGCATACAGTTTAAAAGACATGGAAAATAACATTACTACTAGAATGCTGACATATTTAGATTTAATTTTTTTCATCTGTACATGTCTTTTTAGCTAGTTATCATCAGTTTATAAAATTATGGTTTTGGCTACCTTTGATATTGTAACAAAACATTTGTATATTGCTATCCACAAAAGTAACTGTCTGATATAATGATAATACCCCTGTATCTACCACAAAGACTTAAAGTGTTTCACTAATTTTTAAAAGAAATTAAATATTATTTATCAGTCGCAGGATCTGTTCTGACATAACTGGAATTTTAATGGCCATAAAACAGTGTTCTGAGCAGATAGTTCTTAACTTTTTTAACTATCCCTCATTTTCTCCTTTATAAAAAATATAGCAATTAATACTTTTGAGCTCATAGCCTTTGTGAAAGTTTAGATTATTTCCTTAAAATAAATTATTAGGAATACTAAGTTAGGTCAAAGGACATGAATATTTTGAATTTTTATTCACCGACACTCCCCCAAAAGATCCGTAATGCATTTTACAAGCCATCAGCAATGTATGAGCATATACGTTTCTTTTACTAATTAAACAGGCAACATTTGATTGGTCACTGCTTTAAATGTGTATTTAATTACTATTGGGGCTGAACTCCACCCAGTCAACTAGATAGATTTCTGCATTGTGAATTGTTAATTCAAGTTTCTTTGTCTATTAATTGACTAGGATGATTGCTTTTCTTATCAATTTTAATAAATATTCCCACTCTTCAATACAATAGCCATTAGCAACACGTGGCTATTTAAATTAATTAAAGTAAAAATTTTAGTTCATCAGTTGCACAAATCACATTGAACAAACCATGTGTGGGCCCTGGCCGCTAGCTCCATTAGCTAAGAGCATCACCCCGATACACCAAGGTTGAGGGTTCAATCCCCGGTCAGGGCATGTACAAAAAAGCCAATGAACATATAGATAAGTGGGACAAAAAAAGCAATGTTGTTTTTTCTGTCTCTCCCTTCCTCCCCACACCTCAAAAATCAATTGAGAAAATACCCATGTGCAGCTAGTGATCACCATATTGGACAGTGCGTATACAGAACACTGTGTTATCACAGCAAGCTCTATCGCTCTATATGATGATAACACATCCCATACACTGCAAAACTTGTTTATCAGTTTGTTGTGTGAAGGTCTCTGGATAGTAAATTCAAATTCTTGCTCATAATGTGAGAAAATTACTACAGGACATACAGCTAGTTACATAGTCCCGTTCAGACAATAAGGCCAACTTCCTTGTAGAACCTTTATAAAAGAAGTCAAGATTCTCTTCAGCGGTAGAAGGCTACTTCTTTAAGAGATCATTACTAGGGTTTCAATGTTACAGTCAGTCAGTTGCATAACTTTAGACCTACGAGTTGCAGGTGAAGTTTGGTAAGTGGTTATGAACATGGATGCTAGAGTCAGGACACCCTGGTTCAAAGCCAGGTCTGCTGCAGGAGGAGTGCGCTTAACCTCTCTGCCTCTGTGCGAGGGGGGTGGTACAGGACTGCTGTGAATGACTTGTGAATGAACACATGAACACACGAATGAACACACAAATGAATTCTTTAAACCACCGGGAACACGCCCAGGCAGCTCTCAGTAAGTCATAAATATCTGGGCAACGTCTTGACCTTATTTCTCCCAGTTAATGGTGGGGTGGACTCTAAAGTATATAATCTCTATGGTTATAAGTATGTAAGGTAAAGTAGTAAAAATTAAATACTATTGTTGAACCTAATATATTTACGTAACATTCTAAGGCTTTTTTATAGTGCTGTCATATACTTCATATTGAATGACAACACACTAATAGTATTCTCCACTTTTTTCTTAGCATGCTCCTGTTTTAAGAAAATTAAAAATAGCTCTTAGAGGCAGAAATAAATAATGGAGGCTGACCTAAAATGCATGCATACTCTACGAATTTTTTCATCATAGCAAACAACAGATAAAGTAGAAGTAAGTTTATCAAAAATTTGATCAAATTGAGAATGGTTGGTAACTTATGTGAAATTTTTCTGGCTGAGAATACAGGAAACCTCAACATGAACATCTTCCGGACCTTCGGTGGCTGCTGCAAGCAGACAGTAAAGGTGCTCAGACAACGGGTTTAACTAACGCAGTGAACGTAACTTAGGGAACAGGGAAGGAAGGGAGGCAACGATACGGGCAGTGAGAGCCTCTCAGAGGAATGAGCGGGCGCGCAGTGGGTAAAGCCTTACCACGCAGTCAATCTCCTAGGAACGATGTCCGATATACCTCAACTCAAAACAGTCTGTACAGAACAGACTTGCATGTGATGGGACTAGCTGTGCCACCTGACTACAGAGAACACACTCACTGTACAAGGAGTCTGACGCGCAGTACTCCCTTTAACACACATTATGTAAATAAATTTCCAACACTCCAGGACCAGTCCAAGAAGAGAGGAGCAAACAAAGGTCTACCTTGTCAATGATGGACTGCATGTGCGACTTGTGCGACTGGTCTCCGTAAAGCAGTGAGGACCACTGGTCTGGCGCGATGCGCAAGCCTGCTTCCATCGCGATCTGCACGATCTGGGAGTCATGTTCCCGCCGCAGCGCTTCGTAGGTCCTAAACTCTTCCTTCAGCTGCATCAGAGAAGAGTCTTCATCACGTTTGGTGACCTGTTAGACACACATAGTCTTGTCAACAGTCCGAGAAAGAACAAAATGGGCTTATACTCTGTAAGAGCCTTTACAGATAATGGGTAATTTTTAATGTAACAAATTTCTTTTAGTAACAGCAGCAAGATTAAAATGGAGCACGCCCTTTTGGCAATAAAACATTTCCCTTTTACTGATGTTGAAATCTTCTGGAATGAATGTGAGTTGGAACAAATCCAAAGACTGAACAGACCTTAACACATAATGCACGTTAAACTGTACGTGTGTGTTTATCTTGTATCAGTGAAAAAAATACTAACACAAGTACGATTATTCTGAAAAACAATGTACACTTGTTTTCCGTAACTGTGGAGTATTACTGAAGGGTCTGCCTGGTGTTGAGCTAGCTGGTACCCACAACTGGAGCTATGGATGCTGGTGTGATTCTAAAGATGACTAAGTTTACGTGGCTTAATTCTCCATGGAGTTCTATAGGGTGAGCCACCAACAGAAAGTGTAAATTCTGAGATGCTAAACTGCAACAATCATGCTAACAATAATAATATCTTTTAGTAATTAAAATAATTAACACTTACTGAGCATTTAGCATGTGCCAGTCAATGTATTAAGCTACCTTTCCAACTGTTATATCCAAGTGTTAACTCATTTAATTCTCCAAACTTGTTGAGGTGGATGCTATTGTTCTCATACCCAGTAATTCACACTTTAAGTCAAGCTGGGTTTAGGCCAAATCCTTAACATATCAAAGTAAGACAATTTATTTCTGTCTAGGATCACCTTGTATCCTAACACATTTTAGAGCATATTTTGCCTGTGAACCTTTTAGGACTCAAATTCCTCTAGCAGAAAATTTCCATCGAAGAACCTACAAAATGTTTTAGTCAAGACTTCTAGGTCATACTGATACAATCTTTGAAAGCATATCCCATTCTTATTACAAGAAGATCGAACTTAAATTGTGTTAAGTAAGTCCATAGAAAGACCTAATATATATTTTTTAAAATCATGAACTACAGTTACAAAAAGGAAACGTACTTCGCCACTGTTAAAAAGCAAGTGGAAAGACCAACTGCACATGCGTATGTGTGAGAACAGCCCCTCAACACGGGCTAACCCTCGGTAACACGGAGACTGTGCTCTGGGCGGGCTGTGCTGGGACTCCCCAGACCCAGCTCTCAAAGTTCCTGTGACCACCACCAGGGGTTTCCAGGAGATGCAACGTCCGAAGTCCCGGAACTGTGCTGTGCTGAGAACCACCAGAATTGTCCCTCAGCTTGAAAAGCTGCTCGAATGGAAACGAGAGATGCTGGAAGGACACAACTGGGGAGCAGCTGGATGAACACGTACGCCTGCAAAGCAGGGTGGGGACCAGAGTCTGGCCTGAGTCCCACGAGGAAGATGAAATGGGTACTGGCACGAACTCCGCCACAGCGAGTGGCGGTCAGGGTGAGGACCTAGTGCAATATGAGAAGATAAATCTCTCCATGGGTAAGAGGGTGGTATAAATGACACCAAGAGAAGAAAGTACGTGGACAATGAAATAAAGGGAAATAATCATGATCCAAGTGAAGAATAACTGCATTTGTACACATGTCCAATCTTAAAAAAAATTACTACCAGTGCTTTTCATTAGGACTGAGAAGTCCACCTGGTGGGTACCTGGGGTTTCTGAGCCCCTCGTTATTCTTCACAGGGGAAGGTGGGCTTTCCCTTCCTTTTGTCAGCTTCCTGTACTGTACCTGCCTGGTACTGTGAATGGAGAAAGAGTCACAGGGAAAGCAGGCAGACACTCTGAAGTGGCTTCTGGGTTCTAGTACACACTTGCGTTGTTACAAACACTTACAACGGATGTGCGTTATTTGGGGACAATCTGGGCCAGCTGGAGTGATTCTGGCTCCAGTCTCTGACAGCTCCAGAGGTACCTGAGTGAATGACAGGGACAGGCGCACACCTGAAGTCCGCACCCCGTCTGTAGTATATAGTCTGACTCTAGAAAGAGAGTAAGGTTGGCTTTTAGATAGAACTTTAAAGTAGATTCTTGCCCTGGACAGGGAGCTCAGCTGGTTAGAGCACCATCCCGTGACACCAGGGTCAGGGTGCACACAAGAATCAACCAGTGGATGCAGGTTCACGGAAAGACGGATGGCTGTTTCCTCCTTTTCTTCCCTCTCTGTCTCCATTCCTCTCTCTAAAAACCAATCATTAAGATTTTTTAAATAAATAAAATAAAATTTTAACCTTAATTCTGTATACTTTCCTATTGATCTTGTGGGCCATTTTATTCTTTTCAAAAAATGAAAGAACAGAATTTAGTAGGATGGCCAATGTCACTTTTTTTTTTTTTTTTTTTTTTTTTTAGTTTGAGTGTCAGGTGAGAGAATGGGGTGACCTCAGGAATGGATTTCCATGTAGCTTGGGTGACTTAACAACATTTTAGAGACATGCCTCCCTGGTCCACGCAGCACTGGTTATGTGCTGTATCAGAAGCAAGAAGCCTTGACATTAGGAAGTCAGGAAAACGAGATGAACAGTGAGACACAGAAGGCACCGGTGTGGGAAGCAGCACGGAACTGACCTGGAGTACGAGAGTCTGCCCGGCATTTCTACCTCTCCTGAAACCCAAACGGCAAATGGAGCCCCAGCACCCTCCGTGTGGAACTGTCTCAGGACAAACAGCCAAATACAGCTCACGTCCTGCTTCAGTGACTCTCTCCATTCAGACCATTTCTTTTTGTATCTTGGTGGAAAACTGACACAGCTTATTAGTCTCTCCAAACACAAAAATCTCTAAGGCTTGGTCTGATCTATATTGTTCAATATCCAACATCCAAATTTAATATAAAGAGATTTAACTTTAATAGGAGACTATCTATATTCTTCCAAAGAAAAATTGAATTTTCTGCAAAGACACGGCCACCTTGATTAAACTGCAAGTTGTACTACTCGCTTAGGGACAGGACAGTGTTCCCCTCAGGCGGAAGCGTGGCAGATTCATACCTTGAAGCAGGAGGCGCGATAAAGGAGCTGGACAACGTGCCCAATGCTAGTCTTGGAGGCTTGTGGGAACCGAGGCTCCAACCTTTGCACCACAAAGAGAACCAATACTTTTCTTGACAAAGCAGAACCATCTTCTAAGGCCAGGAGAACCAGCTTTAGAGCTTCCTCCTGCATTGCTAGAAAAAGGTGGAAAAATCAAAATTTACCATGTGCAGGGATAAGATAAATCCACTTATTAGAAGGGCAAAATTCAATAATTTTTGCAGGTATCACCTGATAAACAGATAACACAATAATAGATGGTCAAAGTTACACTTTTTAAGCTTTTGGGGGCATTTTTTTAATTACATTCTGTATATTTTATTTAGGAAACCATATAAAGTTAATATGTTTGAGAAAAACTTTATCAAAATGAACAAACTCTGGCATTAAGGGAAGTTTTAAATGCTCTGAAAAACCACCATGGAATTACCCAAGTCAGGATTATCAAATGTGTAGTAACAGAATCTGCAATGAACTAGCCTTTGTACATATTTCTAGTTCTACACCATACTTTTAGGATTACTAGCATAGTTGCCCCAAAGTTTAATTCCATACCTGGTCCAAGGAACTGGCAGCCCCGGGCCCTGACCGCTGCCCAAAGATTAGAAGAGAGCTGTTGAGGGTTCTGGTGCTGCAGGATGAGCTCTGTCACTGTCCGCTCGCCCAAAGACCGAGCTGCCCGCATGGCCCGAATCCTGCCTTCTTCTTCCACGAGCTGGCAGTGGACCAGAGTCACCAGCTTCCTCTGCATCGGGCGACTCAGAACACTCTGTGTCGTGCTATTCAGACCCACTCCTTTAAAAGAAGAGTAGAAAGTCATTCCTCGGTTTACAAGGCAATTTCAGAGGCCAGGAAAACATCCTCTGATGGGCTGATTGACTTAGGGGTATATGAAAAGTTCTGGGTTCTGCTGGGGTATCTAAAGTGAGTAATACAATTACACAAGTGAAGCATTTTTAGAAGCACACAAAAGCTGTTACCTCATGTGAATATTCATGACATTAAATATACCCTTACTCATTTTAATCATGGAGAAATAAGGATGGAGAGGCCAGACAATAACACTTAATTGAAGACCCACATCTGGGCCAAGATGAAGGCATAGGTGGAAGCACTGTGCCTTCTCACACAACCAAATTTAAAAACAACAGTTTTAGCAACAAAAATGCAGCCAAACCACAGAAAATTGAACTACATGGAAGTCTGACAACAACGAACCCTTCAGCCAAACCGGTAAGAGGGGCAAAGCCAGCAGCAGAGCGGGTCAGGCAGTAAAGATCCACCAGATTGACCTGGGCGCACAACCCAGGTGCGCCAGCAGCCATGGGCAGATCCCAGGTGTGGAGTAGTGGGCAGACCCACTGAGGGCACAAGGTGGTGGACCCACTGAGGGTTGACCACGGTCACACATTCGTGCGCAGATAAATCAGTGAAGGAGTGAGCAGTGAGACAAACCGCGCAGGCCCCAGTGGCAGGAAGCAGCAGAGGGAACTACCAGTGTCCCTCTCTGACCCCACCCCCACATACAGCGTCACAAACCACCCTGGTGAACAACTAAGGCTCCACACCTCATACATAACAGGCATGAACAGATCAAAACATGGCTCAAGAACAACTCAGAGCCCCAGAGACAATAAATCTAAGTGATGAAGAAATAGCCAAACTTTCAGAAGCACAGTTCAAAACACTGGTGATCAGGATGCTCACAGAACTGGTTGATTTTAGTCACAAATTAGAAGAACATATGAAGGCTAAACTAATTGAAATGAATGGAAATGCAAAGCAAACCAATAGTAATGGAAAGGAAACTGGGACTCAAATCAAAGGAATGGACCAGAAAAAGGAAAAAAATGACCAAACAGAAAAGGATGAAGAAACAAGAATTCAAAAAAATGAGGAGAGGTCTAGGAACCTTCAGCACATCTTTAAATGTTCCAACATCTGAATTATAGGGGTACCAGAAGGGGGAAAGGCACAGCCACCAGTGGAAAACTTATTTGAACAAATAATAAAGGAGAATTTCCCCAATCTGGCAAAGGAAATAGACTTCCAGGAAATCCAGGAAGCTCAGAGAGTCCCAAAGAAGTTGGACCCAAGAAGGAACACACCAAGGCACATCATCATTACATTAGCCAAGATTAAAATGAAGGAGAGAATCCTAGAAGCAGCAAGAGATAAGGGGACAGTCACCTACAAAGGAGTTCCCATCAGACTGTCAGCAGATTTCTCAAAAGAGACCTTACAGGCAAGAAGGGGCTGGAAAGAGGTATTCCAAGTCATGAAATCCAAAGACCTACAACCAAGATTGCTCTATCCAGCAAAGCTTTCATTTAGAATGGAAGGGCAGATAAAGTGCTTCTCAGATAAGATCAAATTCAAGGAGTTCATCATCACCAAGCCCTTATTATATGAAATGTTAAAGGGACTTATCTAAGAAAAAGAAGTTAAAAAAACATGAACAGTGAAAGGACAGCAAACTCACAGTTATTAACAACCACACCCAAAACAAAAGCAAACTATGAGGACAGCTAGATCAGGAGCAGAACCACAGAAATGAAGATCACATGGAGGGTTAGCAACAGGGGAGTGGGAGAAGGAGAAGGGGGGAGAAGGTACAGAAAATTAGCATAGATGGTAGGTAGAAAATAGATAGGGGGGAGGGCAAGAATAGCATGGGAAATATAGAATCTAAAGAACTTGATACACATGGTCATAAACTAAAGGGGGGAATGGTGGGGGAGGGGGTGTGCAGGGTGGAGAGGAATGCAGGGGGAATAGAACAACTGTACTGGCATAATCAATAAAATATATTTAAAAAAAAAGACCCACATCTGGAGGTCACGACAGTTCTGGAATGTTAGTTCATAGTGGTTACTCTTACCTTCCCAACAATAACAGGCTGTAATGGCCAGACACTACCAGCAACTTCCAATTTCACTACATCCCCTGCAGCACACCGTGTAAAAGTGAATCGAGGGCAGATGATTCAGAGCTGTCCAATGTCCACAGCGAGCCCTTCTGAAACCTACTGCATTTACACTTGTATTTTCTTCTGCAACTCATTCAAGCAATGTTTCCAACATCACCTAAAACCTCACTCACTACTGTACTTGGTGTGGTTTGTAATGATGTCGTCATTTAGGACCAGTGAGTCTGGTTCACAATAAATAAATGAATTTCACTAAGATTCATGTAATAAACACTGGCTTGGTGTTGATAACTGCATCCCACTCACCTCTAGCACTGCTGAGTGGTTTCAGGTACAACGCTAATTCTTCTACACATTTCTTGGCTTCCTCATAATGCTTCGTATCTTCCACCCCACTACACAGAGTGATGGGCGGCTGCTCAGGGACCTGGAGGCCAAAAGAGAAGGTTCCCTTCAGTGCTCGCTAACCAACCAAACAGCAGTGGTACCGAGCGTGCATATGCACCACCACTAACCCCGGTAAATTTACGGAATGATTTTTTACTTTTTAAAGATTTTTACTTATTAATTTTTAGACAGAGAGGAAGGGAGGGAGAAAGAGAGAAAAAGATCCATCAGTTGCCTCTCCAACAAGAGACCTGTGGCTTTGCAGGACAATGCCCAACTAACGGAGCCACGGTGGTCAGAGCTGAATTTACTGGATTCTTAGAACTCCATGCTGTTTTAACTGCTACCCTTACCACATATTCCTTCCCAAGCCCCAACACCCCTACAGAAAAACGAATCTATCAGTATTTCCTGTTTCCATGGATTTGCCTATTTTGGACATTCCATATAAACAAAACCACAGAATCATACAACAACTTCCCAAATGACTGCACCGTCTGCACTCCCACCAGCAGTAAGTGATTTCTGTTGTTCCACAGCCTGGCCAGCATTGGGTATTGTCCATGTTTCAGATTTTAGGTGTTCTAATGGATGTGTGGTAGTATTTCATAGTTTAAATCTGCAATTCCAAATGACAAGTGATGCCGAGCTCATTCATTTGTTCATTTGCCATCTCTTATCTTCTTTGGTGAGGTATCTATTCAGATCTCTGGAATTACGGTCTTTTTATTAAGTTGTAAGAGTTCTTTGTATATTCTAGACACAAGTTTCTTACCAGACAGATGAATTACAATGATTTTTCTCCCATTCTGTGACTTTGTTCACTCTCTTGACAATGTCCTTTGAAGCACAAAGTTTTAAATTTTGATCAAGTTCAAGTTATCTTTTGTCTTGTGCTTTTGGTTTCATATTTAAAAAAACTACTGCCTACTCAAGGTCACCGATGTATGTAGGCCTACATTTCTTCTAAGGTTCCGTAGTGCTGGCTCCTACAGTGAGTGGGTCCTTGGGTCCCGAGTCCACTTTTGTACGTGGTGTGGGGTGGAGGTCCAATCATTCTTTTACACTTGGACATCAAGTTTTCCCAGAACCATTCGTTGGAAAGGCTGTCCTTTCCCAGTTGAATGGTTTTGGCAACCGTGTCAAAAATCATCTGACCATACATGGGTTTACTTGTGAACCCCCCATTCTGTTCCACTGATCCAAACACGTCTGTATGCCAGTACCACGCCCACTCCACCACTCTAGCTGTGCAGTTTCAATATCAGAAAGTGTGATTCCGTATGAACTTTAGGATGAACTTTTCTACTTTTGAAAAAAATAAAGACCATCACTGGGATTTTGATAGAGCTTGCACTAAATCTGTAGATTACCTTGGGTCATAGTCCATTTTAATAATATGAAGTCTTCCCAGCCAGCAGCACAGGAGGTCTTTCCATTGATTTATGTCTTTTTAAACTCCAGCAATGTTTTGTAGCTTTCAGGGTACTGGTCTTCCACCTCCTTTGCTAAATTCATTCTTTTTTGATGCTACTGTAAGTGTTCATTGTTTTCTTAATTTCTTGTTGGACTGTTCACTGTTAGTGTATAGATATGCAACTGATTTTTGCTTGTTGGTTTTATATCCTACAACTTTGTTTAACTAATTTATTAGCTCTATCAGTTTTTAGAAGGCAATCTTTATGTGTTAAATTATGTACTATTCTATCCTCAAAATTTCACAAACATTAGCTGTTTCTGTTAAGACATGAAAGGTTCTACATAATTTTGTAAACCAGTGTCACCCCAGTAAATTCAATTAAAAAAAAAAAAACATATGACAAGGCCTTACTCATTTTGTAGAAAAAGAACCAGTTCATCCTTAAATATCTTTAGGAAAACAAGTAAGCCTTGATTATTTGTCATTAAAATATTATATTTCTCAAATTGTTACCTCCTAACAAGCCAATTTTTAAAATGTTTCCAAAATGTCACACTGGAATTTTCAAAATAAAAAGAGAAGTGATTCTGAAATAAAAAGCAGAGGAAGAAAAGAAAAACACTCAGCTGCACTTCCCCGGACACATGTTTGGTAGTACTGCTGGTGACACCTTTTGAAATAAGAACTGTTCTCTTTACCTCCAACACACACAATATGGCAGCTTTTAGGAAGATATCAGTAGGGTTAGAGTCAAAGTTCCAATTATTTATCCAGATAATAATTTACAGTAAACAGAGGTACTTCAGACTCACATTATGCAAATTAACCTGGTAAGGGATTATGTAAGTGACTCGCACCGTAGCCTCTCAACGGCCCGCCTCTCCTGGCTCCGTGAGACCTTCTGGGGATATCATGGGTCTCTAGTCTGAGAATGGTGACAGAACTAGCACACCACTGTCACAGGTGCCCGGGGACATCTGCTCCTACTCTAGACGCCTGGCTCCCAACGACTGTGCACTTCAGTTTTTGTTGCCTTCTTCTTCCTTCATTTATTTCGGTTGGTGTCTATGAGGTTAAACTCTCAAGCAGCTTCACTTTTCTCATGAAGTAAAATGCAATGGTTCTATGGACAATATTTTCCTCCTAAGAGGTCCTTGTGACTTGCTTCTTAGGTTTCGCTAGTGATCTGAATAGCTGAGATTGCTGAGAAAGCCCAACCGCCGGATTAGATCGTTACTGTACCAGGACAAGACTCACTGGGCTGCCCCCTAACTCTCCTAACAGGACGAAATAAAGGGCTTGCGCAGCACTGAACAGAATTCTATCTAATTAAATAGAGGGCAACACTACCCGGTTTTAATGCAACAAAACAGAGAGAGAGAGAGAGAGAGAGAGATACCACAAAGTGTCCTATGCCACACACATACCTGAGCGCCCACCAGCTGCAGCAACGCCGAGTTCACCGGGAGGAGCTCAATGTCTGTATTGATAGTGGTCTGGTCGAATGGGCAAGCCTTGCGGTGGAGTTTATTCAGGCACATCTTGCAGACAGTATGGCCACAACCCAAACTGATGGGCTTTCGAATTGTTTCGTCGAAAGTCTGAGTGCAAATCGGGCAGGAAAGGAAATCCGTCCACTGTGGAGCTTGTACAGGCATTGCTTCTGGAGTTACAATTCACTAACACACGCGCGCACACACACAAATATCTAAAGCAAAGATTCCACTGGAATCAAAAATCTTTGAAAAAAGTTTATCTTTTTTTAAATATTTTCTGTAGATACAGTCAGCACATAGTGTGAAATATAACCTGGAAAACAAAGAAAAAGAAAAAAATGAGTCCTTTTAAAATTACACTGTGTCTTATCATCCCACTACCCACAACCTTTTACAGCACAGCCATGTCACCGTGGTCCACCGTTCTGCACTTTTACAGAATTAGAGCCGTTACGAAACATTTGGTCTCCGCCCCACAGTTTAAAGACTGGGGACAAACCCCGAAAGGTGAAATAACTTGCCTACAGTGACACTTGAAGTTAGTAAGAAAATTAAAAAGAACTAGGACCTAAGTCTCTCAAATTTATCTATGGTTGTTTGATACTTAAAAATTAGCCTTTTAAAAATTCATTGATTTGGAGAGGGAGACGGACAGACCTACAGACATCAACCTGTTAGTCCAAAAACTCACACATTCATTGGTGGATTCTTCCATGTGACCTGACTGGGGATTGAACCTGCAACCTCGATGTATTGGGACAAAGTTCTACCCAGCCAGGGTCTAAAACTTAACCTTTTTAAGATGGTTAATAATATTCTGGTTTTTGATCTGTATACCAGTTGCATGAATCTGCTTAATTGTGAAATTTCATTAAGCTCTACACTTACGATATATACACTCCTATTAACAGGGTTTTTAAAAAAAAATTGGCCTAAGAGAAAAACTACCTTAAAACACGTCATCATCAAATGTGGTATGAGTAATGAGATAAAAAGAGACTAGATTTTTTAGGGTTTATGCTCAAGGGTTTTAGATGTTCTTAAGAGTTCACTAGTAGATATCGCTGAGCCCCAGGCAGGACCTAAACTCATTGCTACAGGATGTTGAGTTAGAGACTAATACTAACGCAATTAGTATTATTTACTCCAAGAGATTTTTTTTAATCCCCCAACTTTAAGAATGACAGAGTAATTACAACTTATCAGAACCCACATACAATCAATTTTCACTGTCTACACTCCATTTTTGGTGGAGGATAAAAGCCAAATCACAAAACTCATCACCTGTGTGTAACAGAAACTTCCTTCGAGTATAAAGCCCTGCCAGAAGTGTCCAGCACGTATCTCAAACAATACCTATTACATTTACTCTAACTGTAGCCCAACGAGAGCTGACGCACACAGCAGTAAAGTAACAGTATTACAAATTCCTAAAGATTTGATTATGCTCAGCAGAGACTACTTACAAAGACTTTAAAAATCTCATTTAAGCTGTAATTAACTAGAAAAGTAATCTATTCATTGTATTCTTCAAGTATTCCATTTAATTCATGTTTTATTGAAATAACTCCACCTTAAATACAGCCCATTATTGATGAGAACAGTTTCTAGGAACACGAAACTTGTGTCCACTCACCCAGCAAACATTTCACTAAGCACTGCTACGTGCCAGACTCTGCTGGAACCGCTAGAGAAACACCGAAATGGCAGAGTCGTGACATCTGCCCTCTGAGTAACCCCGGTTTTGTCTGGGTTTTGGCGAAGCGTGCCACCAAACAGACGGACAATGTAAAAACACTTTATGCTCTAGTAGGCAGTCACCAAGGTAATTTCACATTCGAAATCTAAAAGGTATCTGCCTGTGTGTTCAAATGGTCCTTGCAATAACAACAAATAATAAAGGGACTGCCCAAATTCTGATGTCTATGTTTTAGTTATACTTTCTTTTTTAAAAAGTATTTTGCTTATGCTAATTACAGTTGTCCCAATTTTTCCCCTTAGTCTCCCCTCCACTCAGCCACCTCCCAATTATAAATGCTTTTAATAAAATAGATGATGAGTAGCTACAAGTATGTTTATATGAAATTATTACTACTCAATACACTGAGACTACCTCCTGGAATGCTAAAAAAGACAATACAGTTTCTGGTTACTCTGCTGAAGAGTAAAGCAAATGCCGCAGTTAACGCACGGGGCTGCAGAACGCCCCAAAATAGAGAATGAGAAAAGCTAAGTGTTTAGAGGACACAATACTCAACACAAGAACTGGCTCTCAGTCAGAAAATGTTTGCTGACAGATTAAAGCATCAGCCATATGAACGTTTCTCTAGATTAGCATGGCTTTATATTAATACCAGTAAAGGAACTGGTCCAGATGTCAATCCCTGAAAAGTACAGTTAACGGCTCCTTACTTTTTACTGGTACGGCCTGTAAAGAACTTGAAATCTGCTAATCATAAAGTTAAGATAAAACACATCATTTTATTCCCTTAAACACTACAAACTATGCAAACCCCAAAGAACACAAACGATGAACGTTTTACCACACACCATTATAATCTTTGCTACTTATACGACCAAGTGCCACATGCTGAGCTAAAGGCCTTACCTAGAGCAAACCTATAAAGGGCAGGTACCCTGTTTACAGATATAAAAATGGAGGTTTAGACAGGCTGAATAAGCTAAAGAGAGATAGAGGTGAGATATTAACCCAGATATTCTGGCTCAAACTCTTAACTGTATCACCACCCATAGTTTAAAGGTTAATTATAAAGAAGGAAGAACTACTTGCAGTTTCATTTAAAAATCAATGTCACAGAGCTGCATTGCCTACTGGCTGCTGACTTCACAGTAATTCTGTTCTTCTGGCGAGCTCGCTGCCAAGTCTAATGGGCAGGTCATTGTTCTGACAGTAACTGTCTTCTCAAGGAGGTACGACACAGGACTACTCCCTCCTTCTCGAAGCCTCAGTGGGCCACAACATTTCCACCAGCCTTCCCAACTCACTGGCTATGCTTCTGAGCTCTCAATTCCCAAATTTTGGAGTCATTGGCCCCCTGCCTCGAGTTTCCTTTTCTCATTCTCCAGCTAACAGTCTGAAATGGCTTCCTAGTGCATCAGAATAAAACTGGGGTTTCCTATTCTGGCTTACAAAGCCCTAAGTGCGACGACCAGTAATTTAGCTCCAATTTTCTCTCGCCCTTGTCCCTGTCACCCCATCACTCTCCAGCTGCTCACGTGAAGCTTAGTCCCATCACAGAATGTCAGCGCTGGGTTGGTCAAAAAGTCTGTTACATTTTTTCCATAAAATAAAAGACACATTTTCCATTTTTCACCAATAACTTCATTGATATGGGTATTTCGAGTATGTCGGCTCTCTCCTGCTACTGGCTTCCCGTGGGCAGAGGCCAGAGGTGCTGCTAAACACCTTCCAGTGCGTGAGACAGTCCACAGCAGAGAGTTACTTGGCCAAAATGTCAATAGAACCAAGAAACTTCGCAAACCACTTCTAACACGTTCCATCACTCACAGCACCTTCTCCACACACTGTACACATTTGTTTTTGCATTTCAGTTGCGTTTCTTACCTTTCTTGAAATAATAAAGCAGAATACACTGAAAATGATGCATATTTTCTTCCATCTTTAACATTAAAATGGCTGCACAAAAATTCACCAGTTTTGGTAAGTTTTTTTAAGTGCATGCTGATATGACGGCTGTCCCAGGTCAATCTCAATGAAATTGTTTCGAATGAAGTTAAAGACAACTAAGCACTCCCACAGCCACTGTGGGGGAAAAACACTAAACAAACTTTGTGGCCAGCTCAATAATAGCCTCTCTATCTAATGTTTGTATTGGAGGACACCTGTTATCATTCGTAACAGAAGCCACCAAAAATGTCGACTCTTCAGAAGACCTCCCTGACCACCTAAAACCCTAAAATAACCTCTAAATCCCTCCTAGTCCATCACTATATTTAAACTCTGTACCAAACATGTCCATCATATATAAGTTGCACTTTCTTGCCTACATTTTAATGTTCTTACTCAACGTCTACATTCTCCTATTAGAATACAGACCATAGGAGGAAAGAACCGTCATCTGCGTTGTTCACTATGAAAGCTAGAGCTCCTCACCACAATTCCGGCGCACTCAAAGTTTTGCATGTAAGTTCAAAGAGTTTGCAGAATGGTGAAAATCTACTCAGATCTCTAGGGTATTTAAATACTCAAACCTTTCTTTCATGAATCTTAAAGCTTGAGATTTCCATATTCCACAAGCAAGAATATGGAACAGGCAGAAGAAATGGTCAACATCTGTTTTACAAACTTAAAACACCTCACTGATCTCCCACGTGAGTTCAGATCAGTGCTGTTATATAAAAAGTATTCCAAAGTATTCTGTTGTAACAAGAATTGTTTTAAGGAGAATCATAAAGCTTTGTTGTAAAAGATATCTTAGAGAATATCAAGTTCTAGCCTAATTTGTCAAGATGAGGTAACAAACATTTATTTGTGTTCCTATAACAAGTACTACAAAACTTTCTGAAACACCTCTTTTCATTTAATCTTTAAAACCCAGAGAATTTGGAATCATCTTCCCTCTTTTTTACAGAGAACTAAAATAACATTTGGAAAACTTGTCCAAGATCACACGGATAGTAAGTGGCAAAGTCATGTCACAACCACCTCAGGCTGACACTTGACGGTACAGCCCATGTAGCTTCTGCTACACCAGCTGGACCTGGTGGGGACCAAAGACAAGCAGCACAATTCACTGCAAATCATGCAGCTCAACGGTGGCAGAGTGGGGGTTAGAAACCAAGTTGCTGAATTGCTAGTTTTAGTGCCCCCGCCCCCTCTGGATCACCCTGTGTATAAACCCATCGCTGAACCTCTGAATTTAAAAACATCTTCACATAGTAAAACTACAATTAGCACCCTGGCCAGGTAGATCAGTTGGTTAGAGCATCATCCCGATACGTCAAGGTTATGGATTCAATCCCGGGTCGAGGCACATGCAGGATTCAACCAATGAATACATTAAGTAAGTGGAACAACAAATCAATGTCTTTCTCCCTCTAAAAGTCAATAATAAAAACCTACAGTTAGTGATATGTGGCTTAGATAAGGCATCCATTAACCTTGGAAATGATATGTAAATTACATACACATGCTCATTCTTCTGGAATACAACCTATGACTTTTATCAGATTCTCAGAAGATTTTGCTTTCAGGGAACAGAAATAAGAACCACTGACCCAGATATACTGAAATACAGCAACGGTTGAAAACATAAGAATATAGAAAAAATA